TAAATGCATATTACAAAATAAAAGAAGCCTATCTAAAAGGCTACATACTGTATGATTCCAACTATGTGACATTCTGGAAAGAGCAATACTGTGGAGACAGTAAAAAGATCACTGGTTGCCAGGGGCTGGTTGGGGGAGAAATGAAAAGGCATAATACAGAAGATTTTTAGAGCAGTGAAAGTACTCTCTATGATGCTATAATGGTAGATACATGTCATACATTTGTTCAAACCCATAGAATATACAACACCAAGAGTAAACCCTAATGTAAACTATGGACTTGGGGTGACGATGATGTGTCAATATTGGTAGGTTCATCAGTTGTAACAAATGTAACACTCTAGTGTAGGGTGTTGATAATAGAGGAGGCTATGCATGTATGGAGGCAGGGTGTATATGGGAACTCTCTGTACCTTCTGGTTAATTTTGCTCTGAACCTAAAACTGCTCTAAAAATTTAAATCTAAAAAAAAAAAAAAAAAAAAGAGGGGCCAGCCCAGTGGCATAGTGGTTAATTTTGCATGCTCCACTTCCATGGCCTGGGGTTCACAGGTTTGGATCCCAGGCACAGACCTATACACCACTCATCAAGCCATGCTATTGAGGCGTCCCACATACAAAATAGAAGAAGATTGGCACAGATGTTAACTCAGGGCCAATCTTCCTCACCAAAAAAAAAAAAAAAAAAAAAGTGTGAGCAGGTCCTGTGTAGTTGCTGGAAGAGAGAAAGAACGGGGGAGGGGATGGAAATGGAATGTGAAGGGACTTTGATTTGCATAAAACAGTCCTCTTTCATACCCCCACTCCCTAAGTTAAAAAATTAAGATGAACCTATCAGTTAAAAAGTATTCCTCTTGGTGCTGGCCCCATGGTCGAGTGGTTAAGTTTGAGCGCTCCATTTCGGCAGCCCAGGGTTTTGCTGGTTTGGATCCTGGGTGCGGACATGGCACCACTCATCAGGCCATGCTGAGGTGGTGTCCCACATAGCACAATCAGAAGGACCTAAAACTAGAATATACAAGTATGTACTGGGGGGATTTGGGGAGAAAAAGCAGAAAAAAAGATTGGCAACAGTTGTTAGCTCAGGTGCCGATCTTTAAAAAAGAAAAAAAGTATTCCTCTCTACAAGTCTGGCCAAGAAATACTCTATATGAATGCACCTAAAAATAAATGTTGCTTCTTGCGTGATGTACTAGTTTTACACATTGGATATCTACTTAAAATTTTTGACCTATTGGGAAGTTTCTAATTCTCAACCTACCATTGAAAATTTCTTAGTGATGTTCAGAAACATTCTGTAATCATAAAGTATTTACAGCAATGTAGCAATAAGAAGCAATAAACTTTTGACTCTAGATATCATGTCATTTCAGAGAGTTTGCAGCGTACAGTAATGCACTGAATACTTGAGGTTGTAAATGCTGTGTGCCTAACATATTTTAGAGGATGTATTAAACACATAAAACCTCTTAGAAGATTTTACTGGACTTGCTTGATAAAAAAAACTCCATTATTACTTTGGCATGGAAATTAATTGTTATAGTTATAACTGATTAATCAAAACTTTAAAATATATGAATACCTTTTTGAAGAATTTATTCTACCTTAAAATACAAGACCCATCATCAGACCATAGCCCAGTTCTTTCCATCTAAAATAGTATTCATGATCACACAATTGTGGTACAAGACAGTTTTCACAGCCCTTTGCTATTGCAAATTAATTTCTACTCCAGCAGAGTATTTTCCTCACCTCACCACTAATGTAGATTATATTCCTCAAGAGAAACAAACTCTGAGATGTTTTTTAACTCCTGTTAAATATTGAAAGAGATGGTCTCAATTACTTTTCCATGGAAAGTGGTCCAACCTTCCACCCCCACGATCTGCCAGCCCATGCAATACAGCAGGATTGACGATTGTACTAAGTAATGCTAATGGGGGAGGAGTCAGCACGAGTTCTAAGTTTGTTTTTTTGGTAACAGCTTTATTGAGATTTAATTCAGATACCACACAATTCATCCGTTTAATGTGTAAAATTCACTGGCTTTTAGTTTATTCAGAGTTGTGCAACTATTACCACAATCAATTTTAGAACATTTTCATCACCTCAAAAAAAATCCTGTATGTGTGGATAAAAAAATGTGGTATACACATACAATGGAATATTATTCAGCCTTAAAAAAGAAGGAAGTTCTGACATGCTGCAACACAGTGAACCTTGAAGACATTTTGCTAAGTGAAATAAGCCAGTCACAAAAGGACAAGTACCCTATGACTCCACTTCTATGAGGTACACAGAGTAATCAAATTCTCAGAGGTAGAAAGCGGGATGGTGGTTGTCAGGGGCTCATAGGGATGAAGAGTTGTTCTTCAATAGGTACAGAGTTTCACAGTTTGGGAAGATGGAAACGATCTGGAGGTGGATGGTGATGAGGTTACACAACGTTGATGTACTTACTGCCACTGCACTGTACATAAAATTGGTTAAAACGGTAAATTTTGTTATGTATATTTTACTACAATTTTTAAAAAGGAAAAGAAACCCCATATCCATTAGCAGTCCTTCTCCGTTTCATTTCCCCTCAAGCTCTAGGCAACCACTAAGCTACCTTCTCTCTGTACAGTTTCATGTAAACGAAATCATACAATATTTGGCCTTTTGAGTCTGGCTTCTCTCACTTTGCATGGCGTTTTCAGGGTTCATCCGTGTTGCATTTATTAGTACCTCATTTCTTCTTACGGCCAAGTAACGTTCCGTTGTATGGATACACTACATTTTATTTATCCACTTATCGCTTGCTTCCATTTTTTGCCTATGGTGAACACTATGAACATTCGTGTGCAAGTTTTTGTGTGGACATACGTTTTAAATTCTCTCTCGTTATGGATGTATAATATATACAACGTGGCGTGGAATTGTTGGGTCATCTAACTACTCTATGGTTAGTCCTTTGAGGTAGTCCGGCAACGTTTTCCAAATTGACTACACAATTTTGCATTCCCACCAGGAGAGTTAAGTTTTTTAAACAAACATAGACACCCTTGGCGTACGAAAACAAGGAAAACCAAACGTTTCTGTTTTCTCTCTTTTTTGCCCTGCGGGGAAGGACCGGCAGCGATTAAATCCAAGGGTAGGGAGAACTGGGAACTAGTTGCCGGGTGACTGGGAGGCGGGGTTGGGGAGTCCCGACAGCCCCCGCGCCTCCAACGGCCGGGAGGTGCGCGCATGCGCATGAAGAGCCTTCCCAGGTCTGTGGCGCGAGGCCGCGCGACCGGCGGAGCTTGGTGGGCGCAGGGGTGGGTGTAACGTCCTGCTGGGCTCGGGGCCGCCGGAGCTGAGGTGGCCGCTGTGGGTGGGAGGGGTCCTGGGTCCCAGGCTGTGAGGCCGGATTCGCTTTCGGCAGCTTTGGTTGTGAGGTGTTTTCCCTGCTGACGCGGCAAGGGGAGAAGACACGACCCACGCGCCTCTTCCGAACGAACCAACACTTGGGTTCTTTAGACTCTTGGAGGACTTGTAGAATTTTACCTCCGTTCGCTTATTTAGTTCTCTTCCACAGACTTCCATGTCTTTTCCATTTTCCGCTTCCTTGAAATTGCATCCTCTCCCAGGGCCCCCGCTCTACACAAGGTGATACCCAGAGCTTTAGCTTTAGGTTATTTGAAACTAGTGAACTCCGGGCCCTGAGTTACGTCGCCCTGGTGCTCGGTGCCTTTCTGGGTGTCCCAGGAGCCCGTCAAAGTCAGAATATCTCGAACTTCACCGTGTCATTTTCCTACCCTTCTCCTGGGTTCCGTGCTTCCCTTAGAGCAGCAGCGTTCGTCCACACCCGTGTTGAAAACTCGCGTACAGGCGGGTCACCAGGTCCAGTGTAAAACCCTGGAAAGTCTAGAATCTGTCTCGTTCACTCCATTTCATTCCTAATGCCCTGGATTGGGCCATCCATCTCTTAGGACTGTTTCAATAGCTGGAAACTGGCTATCAGCTCTCTCTATTCCAACCCATTTTATGCGCTGGCGGCAAGCGTGGGTTTGTAAAGTTAAAGTCTGACCGAATTACTCCCCTGTCAAAAACTGTGCTGGCTTCCCTTTGCCTGTATGATCATCATGGACTTCAAAAGCTTTCACAGTCTGGTTGAGCCTCCGCCAGCCATTTCATTATCAATAGCCTCCCTTCCTTCAGCCCCAGAAACCTTATGTTCTAATGAACACGACAGGCATTTTAAGATCATTGTACTTAACGGCCATTGGGAAATAAACTGTGACATTTCCCCCTATATAATAGCGAAAAGGACAGTCTCAATTACTTTTACTTTTCTTTGGAAAGTAGCCTGAACTCCGACGAGGGGGGTCATGGATTCACTAGCCGCGTAGGTCTGAAAATTGGGGGAAGGGAAGGTTACCCCTGGCTTTGGAAAACGTCTCCTCCAATTAGTGAAACCTTGTCTATCAAAGGACACCTTTAAAGTAGAACTCCATGCTGCTTTTCTGTGACCCCACTGTATTAAATCAAAATGCCCTAAAACAATAGAAAATATTATGACCCCTACACAAGGGTGACCCCAAATTTTGTGAACTATTTCATGTATATTGTTCCTTCCGTGCTGCCCTAGTACATTAATATTTCTTTTGTAGCATAGAAGTTGTATTGTAATTTTTTATATGTCATCCCTCACCGTACTCTTCCTGAGCAGTTGGGCCCATAATTTACTCATCTTTGTATCCTCAGTGCCTAAGTCAGTCTGATATCCAATAAGTAGTAAAAGCCCAATAAATATTTGGTAATGAATAAATGTGACAGTCACTATTTCTGACTTCTCTAAATTGGCAACTCCTTGAAGACAGGATCCAATCTTACTCTTTTTCTTTTTTGGGGGAAGGTTAGCCCGGAGCTAACATCTGCTGCCAATCCTCCTTTTTTTGCTGAGGAAAACTGGCCCTGAGCTAACATCTTCCTCCACTTTATATGTGGGATCCCTGCCACAGCATGGCTTGATGAGCAGTGCCATGTCCGCACGGGATCGGAACCTGCGAACCCCAGGCCGAATGTGCACACTTAACCACTGTGCCACGGCCCCCCAATCTTACTCATTTTATCCCTAGCACCTAACGCAATTATTGGCATATATTGTTTCCCGTTAGTGTTTGCTGTCTTTAAATGAGTTTTACGTATTTTACTCTCTGCTCATTACTGTGGTTTAATGTTTTATGTTGGTCACTGATAGAAGATTTAAAGCCAGAAGAAGCCTTATCATCTAATACAACCCCTTCATTTTCTACAGATGAAGGTACTGAGCCAAGAGAGGTCAGGGGATTTCCTCTCAGCAACTAGGAAGTGCTGGGTCTAGAACCAAGTTCTCAGATTTCTTAGGTTAACTATACTTTGTTACTCAGATTCAATTTATGAAACAACTTCTACCACTTTCATTTTTTAAATAACACCTGCAAGGGGACCTCATCATCTAATTTTTATTTCAACAAGCATTTTTTGGAATACCTACTCTGTAAAGAGACATCTGAGGCTCCTGTTCTTAAGTTTACACTCTTGTGGAGAATCTCATAACCTAGTGTTGATAAAATTGTTATTTGGCAAAAGAAAACAAAGTTTTGTTTCCCTTTGGGTAGGAGTTTTTTAAAGTGGGAAATTTTACGTTGTTTTATTTCACTCTCAATTTTAATAGTTTGTAAAGTTTCATTAGAGGTCTTCAAATGTAATTTTAATCTATTTCTAGGTGTTCTCATCTTTTCTAAGAGTTTCACCATCCTTAGTCTTTACCAGCAATTGTGGTTTAATCATTTGTAATAGAGAAGAATCATTACCTAGGAGAAAATGTCAAATTTACAAATGAAAGAGGCAGCCCTTATCTATCTTGACAGAAGTGGAGGCCTCCAGAAGTTTCTAGATGATTGCAAGTACTACAATGGTATGTTCAGAGAAGTGACTTTATTTTAGAAACTTTAAAATAAATTCCTACATATAACTATCTTCATTTTTATATTTGTATATTTTTGCAGATTCAAAACAAAGTTATGCTGTCTATCGATTCAGTATTTTAATAAATCCCTCTGATGTTGCTGAATTAGATGCTGAACTTGGAAATCACATTTTACACCAGCCTTTAAAAGCCGCTCAAGTTTTTCAATCAGTAAGTTAAAAAAAGAAATAATTTTATGCTACATGGAATTTTTTGGTAACTTTTTTGGTTTTTTATTTGAAATCACAGGTCTGTTTTATTGCTGTTAAGACTCTCTCATTAATTGGACAATTACAGACTGAAACTCAAGTAAGTTTTAGTTAAATTTGACAAAGAAAACTAAGGTACTGTGCTTTCAAGATGACTTGTAAATAAATATTTTTATATTCATGCTTTTTCATTTAAAACGATACTATAGGGGACCAGCCTGGTGATGTAGTGGTTAAGTTTGTTGGTCCAATTCTGTGGCCCAGGGTTCACAGGTTCAGATCCTGGCCATGGACCCATGCATCACTTATCAAGCCATGCTGTGGTAGGCGTCCCACATACAAAGTAGAGGAAGATGGGCACGGATGTTAGCTCAGGGCTAATCTTCCTTAAAAAAAAAAGGATACTACATTTTTTTTCAAAGTTCAATGGAATATCTTACATACGCATCTTTCCTTCCTATATTATCACTTATAATGTTAAATATTTTTATAATAGAACATTTCAAATATATCTCAAAATAGAGTAATACAATGAACTTCCATATATCTATCACTCAGATTTAATAGTTCACAATATTTTGCCATACCTGCATCAATTTTTGTGTGTGTGTAAGGAAGATTAGCCCTCAGCATGGCTTGATGAGCGGTGCTAGGTCCGCACCCAGGATCCGAACCTGTGAACCCTGGGCCACCGAAACCACTCGGCCATGAGGCCAGCCTCTGATTCTTTCCAGTTATAAATTTTCAAAGAGTAACGAGTTGAAATCTAGCAGCTTTCAATGATGACCAATACTTTTTGGTTTTTGTTTTGCCTTTTTTTAAATTATGAGAAACTCATGAATTTTTAAATATATCTGATATGTTTTAATGAATCTTTGTCATTCTTTTTGATGCTTATATTATCCTACCTTTGGTCATTGGGAGTCCCTTACAGTTTGCCCCTATGTCCTTTTGACACATCCCATTAGTTTTTTATAGCTCCCTTGGTTTCTGGCACAAGGAAATGTACTAGGTCCATGTGGTATATTTTCCCCTGCAAACCTGGAATTAACCTTTTCCCCTAAGGAGCCCTGGTTCCTTTTAGTAAGAAATTATGTTTAGAGATCACAATCTGGGCACTAGAAGTGTTCATTGCTGTTGGGTTGTGATTGTTTTATAAGTCTCTTCAGTGGCTATAGCCAGGAAGTGTCTATTTTTAAAGAAAAATAATTAGTTCGTAATGATATTTTCAATTGAAATCTAAGATTATAAGAGTTTTGCATCTTTTATTTTATATTTAAATCTCTTTTCTCTTATGCTTAAAATTTTGGTTGCTAATAACACTAACAAATCATTTACTTGATTTACTCTACAAATATACTTACTATATTGTAATGCAAGTCCAATTGGATCTGCAGTTTTTATTAATATCATTTTTATGTTCTTATTAGATTAATATAGTGCTGAAGTTAACACATTTACCTCCTCTGCCAAGTTATAGTCTTGATCTTTGTGAGTTTCCACTTGATTATACATCTCAAAGATTTTATATGATGCAAGGAATTGTGATTGCAATGACGACTGTAACCAAGTATACACAAGGTGCAAGATTTCTTTGTTCAGATGAAGCATGCCCTCTTTCAAAAGGTAACTATTAAAATGTAAAATCAAAACGTCAAGCAATTTATTGTTTAATCCTAAATCATGTTTACAATTATTTATGACACATTCACAGAGTAGAAAGAATGGAATAAAATTTGGTGTCTCCTTATGTTGATAAGTTTACTTTGCATAGTCTTGAAATGCATTCTTTTTCCCCTCCCCTCCCCCTCAACTTAACAGGTGCTCATGTATTGCTAAAGTACTTGTTTTTCTCACACATTATTTCATGACTATTCATGATGTTCCTTCTCCATGTAATGTCCTCTCTCAACCCTTTGGCTTAACTTCACTTTGGTCTTTCTCCATGACATCTTTTCCATTCATCCCCACCTCTCATCCGCTTGGATGCCCCTCCTGTCTTCTCTCTGAACACTATGTAAATGAATACCACATATTAAACTGTGTTTATTTCACCTATTGAAATTGTATGTTTAAGTATCCATATCACCAGTACCTTAGCACAGTGCCTGGCAAGAAATAGCCATTCAATAAATGTTAATTGAAGTGCTCCGAACCCCCCATGTAAAATTGAATTAATTATATTTCGAATTGGATTAATTTTAAAGGGTTGAAAATGGATAGTTAAATCCAAAAACAAATTTAGCTTGCCTCTATTTTGTTTCAGGATTTCAGTATATAAGAGTGCATGTGCCTGGTGCCACAGAATCTGCAACAGTAAGAAATGACTTTTTGTGTAATCTATGTTCATCTCCACTTCAAGAAGACAGAAAATTTAGAGTACTTGGTGGTAAAAATGCATTTACATTTTGTAATTACAATTTTTAAAATAGTGTTTGATATTTTAATGTGGAAATTAAATTGAATATATATTCTAATAACAAATTCTGTTTTGCTCTTTGCTTTAAGATAAACAGATAGTTGAAATAATTACCACAAAAGCACTTCATGCTTTTCGAGGATATTCTGACAACCAGCCATTTAGGTTTCAATCTCTTACAATTTTCCTAAGAGGTAAGTAAGTTCTGTTTGAACTAAAAGCAAATTGCTATAAAATATATAATATGTGTAATTGACTTGCTTATGCTTATATATTATAAATGGTACTTCTATGGTTTAAGAATCATAGGTTTTCTTATTCTTGAGAAGCCAGAACTGTGAAAATAAGAATGGGGCTTAGCCTCTTTTCTTGGGCTAAAATTGGAGGAATTAAACTATTCAGAAAGAGAGATCTTGGATATCAACCATGTATAGGTAACTTAAGAGTTAGCAAAGTAGAGACTCAAACAGGAACTCTTTTCACCGTGGTCTGACAGGGATGAGGCAGACATGTAAGCCCAGATGATAATAGATAATTTTTATATAGCAATTACTATGTGCCAGGCACTCTTACATATCTTAATTCATTTAGCCACAGCAACCCTGTCAAGTAAGTTCTATTGTTGTCTCCATTTTACAGTGTGGAAACTTAGGTACAGAGAAGTTAAGTAACTTGTCCAAGGTACACAGCTAGTACATGGCACAATCATGATTCAAACTCAGGCATTCCAGCCTCAAAGTCTATGCTTTTAACTACTTAATTTTATTATATACTATATATAAACCACACATTACAATATAGAAATATAAGTGGCTCTCCAACTTATATTTTAGTGGAAAACCCTTTCTTCAAATAAATTCTTACATAGAACCCAAATAAATTTTAAAAAATTAAATAAATAAAAGCAGTCCTTTAAGGTTGACATCAGAAGGGATACCCAGACTTCCCAGCCTCCTTGCCTTCCTCTTGACCTTTCCTTTGTCCCCCAAGGAAAAATCCACTACAGTTTAAACAGCAGATATTTATTTGAGCAATTAGTATTGCAACTTGGGAGACACAGATTCAGGCAGAAACCCAAAATGTGCTCCAAGGAAGACGAAGAAGGCAAGGGTTAATAAAGGCAAAAAGAGAGAAATTACACAGGCTGTTTTGCAAAATTTGTGATTGGTGCTGGCAACAACTGCTGCTTCTTGGCTACACATGATTGGTTGCTAAGGTCATCTCTAAGGTAAAAAGTTTTTATCTATGGGAGTAAGCATATTTCTTGAAAGATGGTCAAGATGATAACAGTGAAGCACAGTTTCAAAAGTTACATTTTATCTGGGTAGAGACGTGGTGTGCGTACATAAGCCCCGTTTCCTTAATGGCCTCCCAGCCCCATTTTAGAAGCCTTGACATATGTTACTCCATTTTGTTATCACTGTCCACACCTTGACCTCAGGACACATCCACCAAACTCTAAGATTCCATGGAACAGTTGAAAAACTATTCATTTTTATATTCCCCTTGTAATTCATTCTGTTTCCTTTAGTTGCTTTTGTTGTTTTCTGTTTGCTTGGTTAGTTTTGGGTTTTTATTTTCTCAATTCTGGAGCCTGATTCTTCCTTGTAAGTGCACAGGATACACCAACATGCTCTGTGGAGCTGAAAAAAAGAGTGTGAGAGAGAAGAAAAAAATCGAGATCACTGTTTGATCTTCACAGAGAGAAGTTAATTCTTGCTCTCCTCTGTAAGCCCTTCTTTCATAGCTTTATAACCACCCATCTTCTAACTGTGTAATAGAGGATCAAGATTTTTAGTGTATTTTTTTTAAACAAATTTTGAGGGGCCGGCCTGCTGTTGCAGCAGTTAAGTGCGCACGTTCCACTTTGGCGGCCCGGGATTCGCCACTTAGGATCCCGGATGCGGACATGGCACCGCTTGGTAAAAGCCATGCTGTGGTAGGCGTCCCATGTATAAAGTAGAGGAAGATGAGCATGGATGTTAGCTCAGGGCCAGTCTTCCTCAGCAAAAAGAGGAGGATGGCAGCAGTTAGCTCAGGGCTAATCTTCCTCAAAAATAAATAAATTAATTAATTAATAAATTAATTAATTAATTTTGAACTTGTACAAAAACTTTGCCCAGACTGTAGATGTGAGAGAGAAACCTACCATAGGGCAAGAGGGTAGACTTTGGAGATCAGCAGACCTAGAGGTGAATTTCAGTTCTGCTACTTACTATTTAAAGCCTTGTGCAAGTCATTTAAACTCTCAGTTTCTTCATATATAAAATGAGGATAACAATATCTATCTTACAGTTTACAACCAGATAATGTCTGTAAAAGTATCTTGCCTATATTGTAGACAGTGAATAATACTTTTTAAAATTATTTTCTTCCCAAATAAAATGATTGCTTATAAGGTAGTTTTTATTAACATTTCTTGTCATTTAATGCAAAGATGTTTCATCTTAAGCAGAATGATCTTGTTTTTTCCTTTTGACTATACGAGACTATCTAGCTGCTGTCACATGCTTCTTGAAGTTGATTCATCATTGCCTATTAGTATTCAAATGTATCAGCAATAAAATTGCCTCAGTTTACATTATTAGTGCCACTCTATATAGACATTGTACTAAGCAAAAGTAAATACAACTAAGTCAACTACTGAATTGTTACTAGTTCTAGATCTACTAGTTACCAGCTCTTGGAACCATATGATCATGTATAAGTTTTGTTTAGTGAATACATGTTTTCTTTTGTGTTAAATAATTTTAGACGAATCAGTGAATAAAATGAATATAGGAAATGAGTATAAAATTATTGGAATTCCAACCTGTGTAAAAACTTCACAAACTGCTGTCTGTATAGAGGCAAATAGCATCGCTTTTTGCAATCCAAAAGGTAAGGAAAATGTTGGTATCTTATATTAAGAAATATTTAAGTTTAAATCCATTTATTCAGGAAAAAAATATTGGTTGCCTATGTGCTGGGCATTCTTCTAAGCACTAGGGATACAGCTGTGATCAGGACAGTTGAGGTTCAGGACTTAGATCATATGGTAGAGAGTCAGTAAACCTATAAACTAATCAATAAGACAATTTCAGATAATAAATGCTACAAAGGAAATAAAATGGGATAATGTAGAATGTTGCCCGCAGGAAAGACTCCCTTTTTTTGGCTAAACCTTATTTTGATTTTTTATAATTAGCAACAAGAAAAATGTTTCAGAATGCCAAGAGTTGGAGATTAGTCAAAGGTTTTTCTACCTTACCATTTATTTTCTAGCTAAGTAACTATTGTGGTCTAAAAGAGAGCCCAATAAAATAGCATGATTTTCCTCATCTGAGTTCTGAACCAATCAAGAAATAAGACAAATGAGAAAGGCAGATGAGGGCCAAAATAGCACCTTTATTCCTGATAATTTCCTCTAACTCCAACATAATTAAGCATTAAATAAACAAAAGGAGAGAGCAGACTTACCCTTTTAACTTGGCACACAAATATCTAAGTGTAGGAAAGGCTAGTTAGCTCTTGAATAGAGTTAGATTTTTTTGGAATTCTTAGATAACCATCTGCAATAATAGAGGCCCAAGCTGAACTTAAATGTATTGGATTCTAGATACCTCTGGTTATCTTGAAGAGAAAAGCTTCTTAAAAGAATAAAAATGTTGAAGAAAGAAAGCACTAATGGACAATAGACATTTTAGTGATCTTTTAAATATTTTCTGCTGTGAAGTGTTTCAAGTTTTATTGGTTCTGTAGCAGAACATGACTTACATGTAGGTGGAGAAGTGTGCTTTCTCATGCTGGACTCCAGAATTAGGCAAATTTAACCACCCAAATGTGGCACGAACTACACTAAGGTCGCCTCCCTTGGTCCATGGGCGTGGATGCGTAGAAGAAATGATTGCTCTGTGATGGCAGCCCAAGAGGAAGGAAAACAGGACTGGATTATACCTGCACAGTTATTCCTCCCAAACTGACCAACTGGATTAAATCACTCATCGCTTTCAGAAGCTGGACAGAGTGAAGGAGTGGAGAAGATCCAGAATGTTACAGTACAATACACTACAGTGCTTTCAAAGTAGTAGAGCATAAATCTTCCCTTTTAATAGCAACATGCAAGTATTTCCCATTCTGTTTTTTAGCCCTCACTAAAGGTGACGTTATTTCAGACGTAGAAATATAGAAGCAAACACTGCAATACAGGAGCCCCATGATCTGGCTTTGCTCACATAAATCTTAAAAGGAGAAGAATGAGGGGTTTGCTTGCAACCCACAGCCAATCTATGTGGACATGGGGGGTGACTGCTTCCTTTTATTACATTCCCTGGGATAGAAATGATAGACCAGAGTGACCTCCAATCATAATTTAATATCATTATAAGAATTTGAATATGGCATCATTAAAAGAACTGCAATTTGATAATATTTTAGATAAATGGAATTAGATATCTATAATGTTATTTTCCTGTTTTAAAACTCTTTTTAATATATGTGTTTATATTTACTTTCAGTTCCTTCAGGAATTAGCGACAGTTTCAGGTGTCTCCTTTCTTTGACTTCCAGTTCATGCTGGAAGTTTACAGCAATACTTGCCAATAGTTTTGCATCACAAATTGTTCCTCCTGGGACTTACAACTTGCTCAAGCTGTGTTTGCTGATGAGTCTAGTACAGACAAGTGACCGTAATAAGAAACTGGAAGATTGCCTGGATATTTTAATTATAACAAGTGATACTCTACTTGTAGACAGGTAAAATATGTCACATGAATTTTTCAAATTATAAATTGGTCACACATATTTGCATAAATCCTTTCTGTGAGCATTATTACGAGACAAATATTTAGAATTTATCTGAGTAGTATAAATATTATATAAGCTTTTATCAGTGAAGTTCAAAACTTTTAAAATGTAAATTGAGAAATGGGATATTTGCTTTCAATATTTTGAGACTCTAACCACTCAAAGTTTCACCTTGTTTCCCCACTCAGACCTTTACAGATAAACGCATCCGTCACAGGCTTCCTTTTCCCCCATTCCCTGGTTCAGTGTTCTGTTTTTGTATTTTATTTTCATTTTTAAATAATCTCCTTCCTAAGAACCAACAAGCCATTTTCTTGTTTTCCTTCAAGATTCCATTCAATAGGACTGATTCACTGCACTCAAATCAAAAGTCCCCAGATTACTGATTTGGGGGTATCCCCCTAACCTTGGAATAAGCCTCTTCTCAAAGCATTTTGGGGCTCCCCACTAGCACGTACCCTTTTTTAAAAGTTACTTAAATGTTCATAAAGCTAGGAATAACCTTCTTATATTAATATCTTGTATGCAATTGTAAAGCAAAAACAAATTTATAGAAGGAATTTAAAATTTAAAAATAAAATTCAAATTAACTTTAACTTAATTGGACAGATGGTGTTTTGCTGAAATTAAATTAAAATTAAATTGCAGTGTAAATATGGTGCTAACTGCTACAGATTACACCAATTTAATCTTCTACTAATGAGCATGAGAGTATTTGTTTCCTCATAGGCTCACCAACACTGGGTATTGTTAAACTTTTAAATTTCGCCATCTGAAGGGTAGAAAATGGTATTTTATTTTAATATGCATTTCTTTAATTAGAAGTAAATTTTAGCATCATTTACAGCTTGTTAAACGCCTTTATAATTTTTCTGTGAACCTCTTTGACCACTGTCCATGTTTCTATTAAGTTGTTTCTTACTGATTTGTGATACCTCTTATAAATTAAAGCCTTTGTCTCTTTTCCTGTTTGTCATTAACCTTTGACATTTCCTCTGGTATTTGGGGCTGTTTGAGAGATTTGGCTTTTTGTTTTGTTTTTTAGGTAAAATTTATATACAGTGAAATAAGCAGTTCTGATGTATACAACTTGATGAATTTCGACAAATGTATACACTCCTATAGCCACCACCACAATAAAATAGAAAACATTTCTATCACCCGAGAAAATTCCTTCATTCCCTCTTCCAATCAGTTCCTATCTCCACAGGTGATTTCTGTCATGATAGTTTTTCCTGTTCTTGAACTTCATATAAGTAGAATCATATGGCATATACTCTTTTAGGTCTGGCTTTTTGGCTCAACATGGTATTCAGATTGATCCAGTTGTGTGTATCGGTAGTTCATTGTTTTTATTGATGAGTAGTATTCCATTATATGAACATACCAGAATTTGTTTATCCAGTCTCCTAGTGATGGACATTTAGGTTTTACAGGTTTAGAGTAGTATAAGTAAAGCTGCTCTAAACATTCTTGTACAAGTCTTTTTCTGGACATGTGTTTTTGTTATCTTGGATTAATACCTAGGAGTGGAATTTCTGTGTCATAAGGTAGATATACATTTAACTTTATAAGAAACTTACCAAACAGTTTTCAAAAGTGTACCATTTTACATTCCTACCAACAATGTAAGGTTCCAGTTCTTTCTATCCTCATCAACATCTGGTGTTATCAGTCTTTCTCAATTTAACCATTCTAGTGTGTGTGAAATGGTATCTCATTATGGTTCTAATTTGCATTTTCCTGATGACTACTGGTTGAGCTCTCTTTCATATGCTTATTGGCTGCTCATATATCTTCTTTATGAAGTGTCTTTTGCTCACTTTTAAATGGGTTTGTTCGTTCTGGATGCGTGTCCTTTGTCACACATATGTATCGTGAAATTTTTCTCTCACTCTAAAGCTTGTATTTTTTTTCTTAAAGATATCTTTGATGAGCAGACTTTTTAGTTTTGATGAAATCCAATTTATTATTTTCTTTTATGTCTAGTGTTTTCCGGGTTCTGTTTAAGAAATTTTTGCCTAGCCCAAGGTCATGAAGATATTCTTTTATGTTTTCTTCTAGAAGCATTATAGTTTTAGCTTTTACATTAGGTCTATTATCTATTGCAAGTTAATTTTTGTATATGGTATGAGGTAGGAGTCAAGGTTAATATTTTCCCTATGCATTTATCCAATTTTTTCATAGTTTGTTGAAAAGACTTTCCTTTCATGATTGAATTGCTTTAGTACCATTGTTGAAAATCAGTTGAACTAGGTAAAAACTAGGTATAAAATTGAACTTGGTATAAATCTATTTGAACTCTCTTTTCTGTTATTTTGACCTATTTGTCTATAATTATGCCAATACCACTTGTCCTTGATTATTATAGCTCTGTGTTAAGTTTTGAATCAGGTGATGCAACTTTATTCTTCATTTCCAAGATTTTTTTCACTATTCCAGGTCCTTTGAATTTTCTTATAAAGTTTAGAATCCATATGTTAACACCAACTTCTCCCCTAATCCCCCAAAAAAGCCTTTAGGGATTTTGATTAAAACTGCATTTAATGTTATAAATCAATTTGGGGGAGAATTTACATTTTAACAATGTGGTGTCTTCCAATCCATGAATATGGTGTATATCTCCCTTTATTTAAATATTCTGTGATTTCTTTCAGCAATATTTTGTAAAGGTCATGCACATATTTTGTTAAATTGATTTCTAAGTATTTGATATTTTTGATGCTATGAAAAATGGTAGTATTTTATTAATTTCCTTTTTCAAATATTTGCTGTAAATATATAGAAATACAATTGATTTTTGTATTTCGACCTTGAATTCTATGACCTTGTGTCAGTATTTTTTTTAATTCCTCAGCTAATTCCAATGTGCAGCCAAGTTTGAAGCCCATTGTTCTATATAAGTAGGTTCTCAGTCTGACTGCACGTTAGAATCACCTGGGAGAAGTAAAAAAACAAGTTTATGACTGTGGCCCACCCCCAGAGATTCTAATTTACATGTCTTGGGGTAGGGTTTGGCATTGGAAATTTTAAAAACTCCCCAGGTGAATTTAATGTGAGCTAGGGTTAAAAATGACTGCTCTATAAGCTTGCAAAAGTTTCTTTCTAAATCTCACTCCCCTATTTTATGTATCTTCAAACTAATATCCAAATTCCTTAGAATGGCACGTACTCTAGACATTTTATAGCATCTACTTATCCACATTTGAGGGATACAGCCTCACCCTCTTTTGCACTGCGTGTCTCTGTCTGCTCATCATAGTTGATTGAGCTAGCAAGCTATGATTTCTGTGGCAAGACTTTGAAAGCTAAGTTAAGATAATCATATTCCTTTCTTAGAATTTAAATTTGAGAAATGAAGGGGCTAAGGCAATTGGCAAAGAGATTAGAAAGCAAAAGGGTATATCAGGAGTTAGCATGCTACATAGGCAGTAGGGATAGTAATGATGGGCTACTGGCAAGTCTAAATGCAAAAATTCTGAAGAAACAAAAGAAAGCAATCCATAAAAAGAGGAAGGCCCGGTTCAAGTGTCATCTGTCTGTAGCTTTCTCTCACTTCATTCCAGGAGGAAATAATACTCTCTTATGGATGTTCTTACAACATTATTTTAGTACTTATCACCTTGTGTTTTAGTTTTTTGTTTATGTCTCTCTTTCTAAGCTGTGGGCTTTCCCAGTTAAGGACTAAGTCTCATGTATGTTTTTATCCCTAGCACAGGTGCTCAGTAAACATTGAATCAAATTAAATTTAATTGTGTAGCTGTTATACATTATGACTTTGGAAAATCAAATATTAAATAATAGTAATGAATCATTTATTTTTTCCCTAGGCTTTTGAATTTTAGTGTAAACCTTGTGCCACGTGGTATACATCATCCAGTCTCTACTGAAATTTTTCCTACTCTATCCAGGAATAAATATGGAACTGGAGCTGTTAGCATTCAAGCTGGCACTGCATTGCTAGCTAAAGGTGGTATCTGCTTTATAGGAGACTTGGCTTCATACAAAAAAGATAAACTTGAACAGCTTCAATCAGGTAAACAATATTTTTTTCAAATTAATTTTCACCTGTTTAACTTATAGTGTCATCAATGTCAAGGGGCTACTTAACAGTTAAGATTGTATTGTACTCATTTTAGGAATTGAGAAATTATATTAAATGACATTTCTCATTTTACCTTTATAAATAAAAACAGAGGAATTTAATGTGCAAATGCACTGTTTTAGCCTTTGCCTTCAGTTGTGCTAACACATGAGTTTGTATTGGGCCAGATTTATTTCCTTTTCTTGCCTTATTGCATTTGCTAGGACTTCCAATATGATGTCAAAAAGTGGTGATGAGAATGGACATCCCTGTTTTGTTGGGGTTTTTTTTTTGTTTTTTGGTTTTTTTGCTGAGGAAGATTCACCTTGAGCTAACATCCACTGCCAATCTTCCTTTTTTTTTTGTATGTGAGCCACCACCACAGCATGGCCACTGACAGATGAGGCTGCTGAAGCAGAGTGTTCTGAACTTAACCACTAGGCCACCAGGACTGGCCCTCCCTGTCTTGTTCTTGATCTTAGCAGAAAAACTTTGAATTTCTCACCATTAAATATAGTGTTAGCTATAGGTTTTTTGTAGATGTTCTTTTTCAAGTTGAAGGAATTCCCCTCTATTCCTAATCTACTGAGAGTTTGTTTGTTTGATTTTTTTTCTTTTTTTTTTTTTTTGAGGAAGATTAGCCCTGAGCTAACATCTGCTGCCAATCCTCCTCTTTTTGCTAAGGAAGACTGGCCCTGGGCTAACATCTGTGCCCATCTTCCTCTACTTTATATGTGGGATGCCTGCCGCAGCATGGCTTGCCAAGTGGTGCCTTGTCTGCACCTGGGATCTGAACTGGTGAACCCTGGGCCGCCAAAGCGGAACATGTGAACTTAACTGCTGTACCACTGGGCCAGCCCCTACTGAGAGTTTTTAAGTAATGAATGGGTGTTGGATTTTATCAAATGCTTTTTGTGCATCTATTGATGTGATACTGTGCCTTTCTTTTCTGCAGCTTGTTGAAATTATGGATTATCTTTTTTTTTTTTTAGCTTAAACAACAGAAATTTATTGCTTACAGTTCTGGATAGCAGAAGACTGAGATCAAAGCGTTGACAGGGTTGGTTTCTTCTGAGGGCTGTGAGGGAGGGATATATTCCAGGCCTTTTTCCTCAGCTTGGAGATGGCCATCTTCTCCCTATGTGTCTTCACATGGTCTTCCCTCAAGAGTGTCTGTGTATCCAAATTTCCCCTTTTATAAGGGCAGCAAGCATATTGAATTAGGGGCTCACCCTACTCCAGTATGACCTCATCTTAATTTAATTAACTATATCCACAATGACCCTAAAATTATGGATTATCTTAATTGATTTTCACATGTTGAACCAGCTTTGCATACCTAGAATAAATACCATCTGGCTGTAGTGTATAATTCTTTTTATACACTGTTGGACTCAATTTGCTAATATTTCGTTGAGAATTTTTGCATCTATGTTCACAAGAGATATTGGTCTGTAGTTTTCTTTTCTTGTAATTTTTTGTCTGGTTTTGGTGTTAGAGTAATGTTGCTTGGACCATATTTATAACTAACAAGGAGATGGACAGATATGGACTGGACAAAGAGCAGTCAGGGCCTTGCATTTCTTGGCATACCAGCAAGAATGTGCAGCAATGCTCAGGGTACCTAGCATATTGCCTCTCCCTGCAAGAGAACGCAGAAATAGACCCACGCTAATATGGTCAATTGATTTTTTGACCACAGCACCAAAGCAAGTAAATGGGGAAAGGAAAAATTTTTTCAACAAATGATGGCAGAACATCCAGCTATGTATATGGAAAAAAATTAATATTCTCTCATACCTCACAACTATATACAATAATTAATTAAATATGGGTCATAAACTTAAATGTAAAAACTAAAACTATAGAGCTACTGGAAGAAAACATAGGAGAATATCTTCACAACCTTAGGGTAGGCAAAGATTTCTTAGAACCTGGAAAGCAGCAAACAGAAAATAATTGATAAATTGGACTTCATCAAAACTGAAAAGTTACACACATTAAAAGGCCCTATTTAAAAAGCAAATAGGCAAGCAAAGAAAAAGAAAATAATTACAATACATGTATCTGACATAGGACATAGACCTAAAACATAGAAACAATTCCTATAAGTCAATAATTTAAAAAACAAAGAACCCAGCAAAAAATGGGCAAAAGACTTGTCTAGTGACTTCACAGAGGAAGATATACAGAATGACGAATAAGCACATGAAAGACTACTCAATATCATTATCAGGAAATGCAAATAAAAACTACAATGAGATACCAGTACTTACATACTAGCAGGGCCTGCTTCATGGACACGGAACAAGTACAGTTGCACAGAGGCCCTCCTCCCCCTAAAAGAGCCTGGCACTTGGTTAAAACTCTACTGTCACCATCTTCAAATTTTTAGTAATTTTCTCTCAGGACTTGTGTTTCGTAAGGAAGTCAAATAAGACAGTGGAGCTTGCACATGAGCAGAGGAGATACATGCATGCATGTGTCTCCCGTTCCTTGCTGCCCTATTTCATATAGCATTTATGATCACTATGTGGCTTCTGTAACATACTTAATTTGTAATCAGTTTGATTCTTGCTGAACTCTTGTGTATCATGAGTACACTGCAATTCAGTGCTCGTGTTCCATATCAACATCTTCAATTGAGTAAGAGGGGGAGCTAATAGCCCCAAGAGGCCAGGCTTTCCATTCAAACCAGACTTCTTAAATGTAGAAAGAAGGCAGTAGCATTCTAAGAAACACAAATAACCAAGGAATCCCATCATATCCTTCTTACTGGGTTATTTCCCTGTATTTGCCAGCCAGTTACTGAAAATGATATAGGAGGAAAGGGAAAAATAGGGCAACCCATAGTTCCTTTTCCTTTTAGTCTTTCCTTACTCATCAGTGAGCTGAAAGTAGAGAGTATTTGTGAAATGTGTGCATATCAAGAAGTAAAATTGGGGCCAGCCTGGTGGTGCAGTGGTTAAGTGTGCACGTTCTGTTTCTGGGTGGCCCGGGGTTCGCCGGTTTGGATCCTGGGTGCAGACATGGCACCGCTTGGCACGCCATGCTGTGGTAGGCGTCCCACATAGAAAGTAGAGGAAGATGGGCATGGATGTTAGCTCGGGGCCAGTCTTCCTCAGCGAAAAGAGGATTGGCAGCAGTTAGCTCAGGGCTAATCTTCCTCAAAAAAAAAAAAAGTAAAATAAAGAGTTTTGTGCAGTTTTTCCACTATTCTAGTAAGAACAAAATACATATGTATGTACAAGCTACAAAATACTAGTGACTCTGTATATGAGTTAAATGCTCATAATTTGTGTTTAAGACTGGTATTGTACAATATAAAGATAAGTGATAAAATTCATGCCAATAATTAAAATTTTAAATTTTAGGATGCCAATTACTGCTATTATGTTTTTTGGTAACAGCTTTATTGAAATATAATTTGCATACCATACAATTCACCCACTTAAAGTGTACAATTTAGTGGTTTTTAGAATATTCACTGAGTTGTACAACCATCACCACTATCTACTTTGAGAAAATTTTCATCACCTCAAAAGGAAAAACCATACTCATTAGGACTCCCCCTCTAGCCCTCCTCCCCACAGTCCCTGGCAATCTAATCTGCTCTCTGTCTCTATGGATTTGCCTATTCTGGACATTTTATATCAAGGGAATCAGGCAATATCTGGTCTTTCATGCCTGACTTCTTTCACTTACCATAATGTTTTTGAGGTTCATCCATGTTGTAGCAGGTATCATTACATCATTCTTTTTTAAAAAAAACATTCTGATAAAATACACATAACATAAAATTTACCACTTAAATCATTTTTAATGTACAATTCAGTGGCATTAAGTACATTCACAATGTTGTGCAACCATCATCACTATCCATTTCCAGAACTTTTTTGTAATCCCCAACAGAAACTCTGTACCCACAAAACAATAACTCCCTACTCCCCCCTACCTTCAGTCCCTGGTAACCTCTATTCTACTTTGTGTCTCTGTGAATTTGCCTACTCATAGAATGTCATTCCTTTCTATGGCTAAATAATATTCCATTGTGTGTATATACCACTTTTTGAAAAAATTCATTCATCTATAGATGGATGCTTGTGTTATTTATACTTTTTGGCTATTTTGAATAATGCTGTTATGAACATTGGTGTAAAAGTGTCTGTTTAAGTCCCTGCTTTCAACTCTTCTGGGTATATACCTAGAAGTGGAATTGTGAGATCATATGATAATTGTATGTTTAACGTTATGAGGAACCAAACTGTTTTCCACAGTGGCTACACCGTTTTACATTCTCACCAGTAATTCATGAGGGTTCTAATTTCTCCACATCCACTCCTATTACATTTTATAGGTAATAAAATACTTTTTAGAGGAAAAAGCTTTATATATCACAACTTTTAAAAGCAGTTTTCCCCCTGATTTTTGAATAAAAGGCCTAGACTTTATTTTTACACTGGGCTCCACAAATTATGTAGCTGGCCTTGGCTACAAAAAATGACTAAAATTAAAAAGATTGACAACAACAAATGTTGCCAAGGATGTGGAGAAACTGTAATTCTCATATATTGTTGATGAGAGTATTTAATAGCACAACCATTTGCAAACTGCTCTAGCAGTTTATGTAGAATTAAATACGTATTTACAATATGACCCAAGAGAAAGTTAAACATGTGCACAAAAGACTCTGTTATCATGAATGGAGAGAAGACTAATTTGAGAAATATTTGGAAGATAAGACTCCTAGGAGTAGGATTGAATCCATAGATTAAATGGATATAAGAGGTGAAGGAAAGATAAAAAGGAGAATAGGAGTTTCCACATTTTTTTGTTTTGGTTTTAAGTGGGTGGATGGTGATACCCCTAATAGTGACTAATGCACACAGAGCCCCTTGTGGAGGAGAAATGATGAATTTGGTTTTGAACTTGTTGAATTTGAGATATATTTTTGCCTACTCCTTGTAGTTCGTATTTTCTCTCAATCTATTCTTTCACTCCCAGATAGAGGCCCACTTATTATTTTTTTCCACAGAAAAGAACATTGCTTAATTTCAGTCTCTCTTGTAAGCGTGGACTATATGACCAATCTCCTAACCCTCTGCCTATTCCATGCAGACACTGACCACAATTCCAGCTACTTCCTTTGGGCTGCTGGTTCTCATTAAGTCATGGGGCACATAAACATTGAAATATTTTTCTTTCCTTGTTCTTTTTATGGCAGATCTTCTAAGTTAGCCATATCTTACAAAACGATCAAATTTACTTTTGTCTTTACTGTCCAAAATTTAGACAGTAAAATTCTATTTAATAATGTTTGTTATTCATTTGTAGCTATATAGACCAAAATGAACTTACATAACAAATGGGTAATGTCTTCTGACTTAGTGGTAGAAAGCAGAAGCATCACAGTGTACATCCCGGGAAAGAAGTTTGGGGATGATATCGATCAACAAATGACTTTTCCAGTTCAGTGCAGTTTTTGGTCTTTTGTTGATATGGATTCATCTTCAAGGAGAAACATGCAGAAAACCAATGCTCTGATTGGTCAGATGGTAAAGTATATGTATATTTTGTTGTTAGACTGTTGTTCAGAGAATTTAGTCACTGTTTTAATGTTAATGTTTTTGTTGTTCTTAATGTTTTGTTATTAACCCATTTCTATACTTAAACAGGGACTAGAACCAAACAGTGATGCAATTGTTTGAAAATTTTTATGTTTTTTAGTCACGCAAAGCAGATGTCTGCTGACTAGTAATTTAAATAGGTAGTGGGGGAGGCTTTAATGAATAATGTGTAAGAAAATACTCAATAAAGGGCATTTTAATTTTTTTATTTAAAAAAATTTTTATTGAGGTCACATTGCTTTATAACATTATATAAATTTCAGACATATATCATTATATTTCAACTTGTGTATAGATTGCATGTTCACCACCAAAGTCTAGTTGCCATCCATCACCTTACACATGTGCCCTTTCACCCTCCCCCATCCCTTCCCCTCTAGTAACCACCAATCTGTTCTCTGTATCTATGTGTTTATCTTCTACATATGAGTGAAGTCATACAATAATTGTCTTTCTCCATCTGACTTACTTCACTTAGCATAATACCCTCAAGGTCTGACCATGTTGTAGCAAATGTCAAGATTTCATCTTTTTTTATGACTGAGTAGTATTCCATTATATATAAATATACCACATCATCTTTATCCATTCATCCATTGATGAGCACTTAGGTTGCTTCCAAGTCTTGGCTATTTGAATAATGCTGGAGTGAACATAGGGGTGCATATATCTTTTCAAATTAGTGTTTTTGTGTTCTTTGGATAAGTACCCAGGAGTGTAGTGGCTGGAATTTCTATTTTTAATTTTTTGAGGAATCTCCATACTGCTTTCCATAGTGGCAGCACCAATTTACATTCCCACCAGTAGTGTATGAGAGTTCCCTCTTCCCCACATCCTCTTCAACACTTGTTATTTCTTGTCTTTTTAGAAATAGCCATTCTGATGGGTGTGAAGCAATATCTCATTGTAGTTTTGATTTGCATTTCCTTAATAATTAGTGATGTTGAACATCTTTTCACGTGCCTGTTGGCCATCTGTATACCTTCTTTGGAAAAATGTCTGTTTATATCCTCTGCCTTTTTTTTGATCAGGTTGTTTTCTTGTTGTTGAGTATATGAGTTCTTTATATATTTTGGATATTTGTTATCAGATATATGATAAATATCTTCTCCCAGTTGGTAGATTGTCTTTTCATTTTGTTGATCATTTCTTCTGCAGTGCGGAAGCTTTTTAGTTTGATGCAGTCCCATTAGTTTATTTTTTCTTTTGTTTCCCTTGCCTGAAGAGACATGATGTTAAAAAAGACACCGCTAAGACCAGTGTCAAAGAGTGTACTGCCTATGTTTTCTTCTAGAAGTTTTATGGTTTCAGATCTTAAATTCAAGTCTTTAATGCATTTTGAGTTAAGCTTTGTGTATGGTGTAAGACAATGGTCTACTTTAATTCTTTTGCATGTGGCTGTCCAGTTTTCCCAACACCATTTATTGAAGAGACTTTCCTTTTTCCATTGTATGTTCTTGGCCCTGTTCTTGAAAAGTAGCTGTCCATAGATGTGTGGGTTTATGTCTGGGCTCTCAATTCTGTTTCATTGATCTGTGTGCCTGTTTTTCTGCCAGTACTATGCTGTTTTGATTACTATAGCTTTGTAGCGTATTTTGAAGTCAGGGATTGTGATGCTTCCAGCTTTGTTCTTTTTTCTCAGAATTGCTTAGGCAATGTGGGGGTCTTTTGATATTCCGTATAAATTTTAGGATTCTTTGTTCTATTTCTATGAAAAATGTCACTGGGATTTTGATGAGGATTGCATTGAGTCTTTAGATTGCTTTAGGTAATATGGACCTTTTAACTATGTTAATTCTTCCAATCCATGAGCGTGGAATATCGTTCCATTTCTTTGTGTCTTCTTCAGTTTCTTTCTACAATGTCTTACAGTTTTCAGCATAAAGGTCTTTTGTCTGCTTGGTTAAATTTCTTCCTAGGTAATTTTTGTTATTATTGTAATTGTAAATGGGATTGTATTCTTTGTTTGTTTTTTTCTGAGGAAGATTGGCCCTGAGCTAACATCCATGCCCATCTTCCTCTACTTTATGTCTGGGACGCCTGCCACAGCATGGCTTGCCAAGTGGTATGTAGGTCAACACCTGGGATCCGAACCAGCAAACCAGGGCCGCCGAAGCAGAATGTGTGAACTTAACTGCTGCGCCACCAGGCCAGCCCCAATGGAATTGTATTCTTGATTTCTCTTCCTACTAGTTCATTGGTAGTGTATAGAAATGCAACTGATTTTTATATGTTGATTTTGTAGTCTGCAACTTTGTTGTAGTTGTTGATTATTTCTAATAGCTTTCTGGTGGATTCTTAGGGTTTTCTATATATAGAATCATGTCATCTGCAAATAGTGACAGTTTTATTTCTTCCTTTCCAATTTGGATACCTTTTATTTCTTTTTCTTGCCTAATTGCTCTGGCTAGGACTTCCAATACTATGTTGAATAAGAGTGGTGAGAGTGAGCATTCTTGTCTTGTTCTTCTTCTTAGAGGAATAGCTTTCAGTTTTTCACTCCTGAGTCTGATGTTGGCTATGGGTTTCTTATATATGGCCTTTGTTATGTTGAGGTACTTTCCTTCTATACCCATTTTATTGAGAGTTTTTATTGTAAATGGATGTTGAATCTTGTTAAATGCTTTCTCTGCATCTATTGAGATGACCATGTGATTTTTATTCATTTTGTTAATGTGATGTATCACATTGATTGATTTGCAGATGTTGAACCATCCCTGCATCCCTGGAATAAATCCCACTTGATCATGGTGTATGATCCTTTTAATGTATTGTATTAGATTCGCTAATATTTTGTTGAGGATTTTTGCATCTATGTTCATCAGTGATATTGCCTGTAATTTTCCTTTTTTGTTTTGTCCTTGTCTGGTTTTGGTATCAGGGTAATGTTGGTCTCAAAAAACAAATTAGGAAGCGTCCTATCTTCTTCAATTTTGGAAGAGTTTGAGAAAGATAAGTATTAAATCTTCTTTGAATGTTTGGTAGAATTCACCAGAGAAGCCAGCTGGTCCTGGACTTTTGTTTCTCAGCAGGTTTTTGATTACTGCTTCAATCTCTTTACTTGTGATTGGTCAATTCACATTCTCTATTTCTTCTTGATTCAGTTTTGGGAAATTGTATGATTCTAAGAGTTTATTCATTTCTTCTAGGGTATTCAATTTGTTGGTAGACAGTTTTTCATAGTTTTCTCTTTTAGTACTTTGTATTTTTTTGTAATTTCTCTTTTCATTTCTGATTTTATTTAATTGAGCTTTCACTCTTTTTTGCTTAGTGAGTCTAGCTAAGGATTTGTGAGTTTTGTTTCTCTTTTCAAAGACCAGCTCTTAGTTTCATTGATCTTTTCTATTATCTTTTTAGTCTCTATTTCATTTATTTCTGCTCTTATTTTTATTATTCCCTTCCTTCTACTACTGTTTGTTTTTTTCCTTTTTCTAGTTCTTTTATGTATAGTATTAGATTGTTAACTTGACATTTTTCTTGTTTCTTGAGGTAGGCCTGTATTGCCATATATACCCTCTTAGTACTGCTTTTCCCACATCCCATAGGTTTTGGTATGTTGTGTTTTCATTTTCATTTGTGTCTAGGTACTTTTTGATTTCTTCATTGATCCAGTAGTTGTTCAGTAGCATATTATTTCCACATATTTGAAACTTTTCCAGCTTTCTTCTTGTAGTTGATTTCTAGTTTCATATCATTGTGGTCAGAAAAGATGCTTGATATGATTTCAAACTTCTTAAATTTATTGAGACTTGCTTTGTTTCCAAACATATGGTCTATCTTTGAGAATGTTCTGTGGGCACTTGAAAAGAATGTGTATGCTGCTTCTTTTAGATGGAATGTTGTGTATATATTTATTAAGTACATCCAGTCTAGTGTTTTATTTAAGGTCAATATTTCCTTGTTGACTCTCTGTCTGGATGATCTATCCATTGGTGTTAGTGGGGTATTAAAGTTCTCTACTATTATTGTGTAGCTGTCAGTTTCTCCATCTAGGTCTGTTACTCGTTGCTTTATATACTTTGGTGCTCCTATATTAGATTCCTATATATTAATAGATGTTATGTCTTCTTGGTGGAATGTTCCCTTTATCATTATATAATGTCCTTCTTTGTCTCTTGTTATCTTTTTTGGCTTGAAGTCTGTTTTGTCTAATATAAGTATGGCTACACCTGCTTCCTTTTTGTTGCCATTTGCTTAGAGTATCATACTTCCACCCCTTCACTCTGAGCCTGTGTTTGTCTTTAGAGCTGAGATGGGTCTCCTGGATGCAGCATATTGTTGTATCTTGTTTTCTAGTCCAGCCATTCTGTGTCTTTTGATTGGTGAATTCAATCCATTTACATTTAGGGTGATTATTGATATTTGAGGGCTTAAGACTGCCATTTTATCTTTTATTTTCTGGTTGTTCTATATTTCCATTGTTTCTTTTTCCCTGTGTTTCTGTCTGCTGTTTCAGTTTGGTGGTTTTCTGTAATGTGTTTCTAAATTTCCTCTTTTTTTATGTTTTGTGACTGTCCTTTGAGTTTTTGCTTTGTGATTACCATGAGGTTTGTAGAAAAGATCTCATAGATGAGATGTGCTTTTTCTGCTGATAGCATCTTATCTCCATTTGCTGTGCAGTTTTGGTCCTTTACCTCTTCCTCTTCTATGTTTTTCTTGTCACTAATTATCCCTTTTTGTATTGTGAGTTTGTTACCAAATTGAAGTGGTTATAGTTATTTTTAATGCTTTCTTTCCCTTTGGCCTTTATGTTATAACTGTTTATTAATCTATTCTGATATACAGTTGCAATTTTCTGATTCTGTCTATTATCACCTTGCTCAAAGCTTTGTATACGTTTGCTCACTAATTTTCTCTTCCATATGGTCTGCTCTATTTCCAATGCTTTCTAATAATAAAGAGCATTTAAAAAAAATTGTTTACCACAATTTTACCATGCTATTCAGAAATCACTTTAATAAGTAATAACTAATAATAAAAAAAAAATAATAATTATATTTATATAATTTAATATAATTAAATATTATAATATAAATATATTAATAATTTAAATAATAATTATACATACTTCTCATAATTATTTCCAAAAAGTTTGTGAAAATGCCAGAGTTTAATGTTTTCCTTTTACATTTTCATTTGATGTAGGATTGCAGTTTGATTCCAGCTAATCTGTTAGAGGCATTTGTATTATTGATTAACTGCAATGAATCATCTCCTTGCCACCCACTTCTTCCTACTGTGCATCATACTTTAAAGAAAGCCATTGATCCTGAAGGGCTGCTTTATATAGCTTCTAAACAGTTTACAACTGAAGATTTTGAAAAGGTAAATGTAGGAAAAATGATTACCAAGAATACTTGTGCTAACGATCCTCAATTTAAATAGTACTCCATTTGAGCATTCAATTTTCTTTATTTAGGTTTCCTTTATTCCAGTTTGCTTCCAGCTTTAAACATTTTAAAGACATTGTATAGAAAGTATTTAGGATTATTATAAATAAAAAACTGTATAAGGGCATAGATACTAAAATGTTGAACTTATTCTTTGCACCCTTGTCCAGATCACTATAGCTTAAATAATCTCAATGAAAAGAAAACCAAAATATAATATTTCTACAGAAAATTATGATGACAGGCTATATAGATATACAGTTATTCAAAGGGATTTCCTTTATATGAATTCAGAATTCTGACTTTAAGGAATATCTATCATGAGTCACTAACCCATTTTAGTGTCCTGACATAAAAACATGTCTGGCATGTCCTGAGAGTAGATGACGTAAATTTAGTAATGATTCTCATAGCTATTGTCGACAAAAATAATCCATAATGAATTCTATAAATGAAAATTGGTATGAGTTTATTATGAGCCAGATCTGAGGGCTAGCTTAGCCCCGGGCCTTCCTTCCCCAAGAAAGGAAGGGCACCAAAGATGTGGGGATGTACAGAGTGATTATATACCATCAAAGAGCATGTATTACATATGATTGAAATGTCCCTTTTACAATAGTCACGAGGTTGCTCTGTCGGCACAGTGACTGATGGACACAGCAGGTAGCCCGTTTGTTGTCTCAAGTTGGGTGGTCACAGGGTGGGTGCAGCAATCAATTCCTAGCCTAAGGAGAGATGCTTATCCTAAGGAAATGCCAATATGAGGGAAGTTGCATCTTTATCTTAAGACCATTTGTTCTTGTCTGGGAGGTAACAAATGTTTAAAGCAGACATACAATGCATGCTCAACGGCCATGTCAGGCCCTTTTCAAAAAACAAAGTCAGGCTGAATTACACCAAATGGCTTCCTCATATACCCTAATATATCCTATTGCTCGCCATTTGTTTCCCACTGTTAAAGGTACTCAAGTATTTACAAGTAAAGCCTTTTTAACTTTAACTATTCAGAAATCTGTCCACAGTAGAGTTAAAATACCTAGGTTGGATAGACAAAAGGCAGGAAATATTGGGAAGTGGGAATCCATGGGTCTAAATTTTTTTTGCATAGCTGCCTTCCTTGTAAGCCTATTGCATGGGTAAAAGGTTGAAAGGTGAGGTGGACTTAAAAATGAATTATGAGCATTGTTTATTCCCATAGATTAGAACAGAAAAAGAACAATATTTATGATACAATAAGGTCTTTTTGTTTGTTTTAGGATATAAGAATAAAGTAGCTAGTCTCTAAGAATTAGGGTACTAAATATTTAGACACACTAATGACCTGGAGATATTTTTGCCTAGTTTTTCCCTGAAAAACAAACAAAAAAATCTGTCGAGGTATTAATTAGTTAGGTATTTACTAAATGCTTTATATATATGAGTCTATTTCTCTTTTTTTATATTCTCACAGAAACGTAAATTTTCTTCTTTAAATAGTTGATCTTTAATTGAGATAAAAACAAGATACGTGAAACAATTAAGAGACAATTGAAGTGCTAAGCTGGGTGGTGCTGATTATAAGTATTTTAGGAATTCAGAAAGGGAGATATCAAGTAGAATGCAAGAGTTGGGAAGGCTTCATGGAGGAGGTGAGACTTTAGTTGGACCTTAAGAAAAGGTAAGATGTAGATGGCAGGAAGGATGGGCATCCTAGACAGAAAAAAAAAAATGTAAGAGCAAAGACATAAAAGTAGAAATAAGTATACGTGGAAAACTATGAGAAGACCTGCCTGACTGGAGCAAAATTTGTATTATGGAGTCATCGGGATTAGGATTTGGGAAATTTACAATAAGCCTTAAAGCTCAGGCAAAAGAATTTATAGTTGATTTGTCAGAGTTTAGAGAACAGTTGTAGACGTTCCTAGGCTAGTGAAATAGTGAAAATTATTTCTCCAGAAGATAAATCTGTTCGTCACACAAAACAGATTTGATGGAATATGTTGCAGCCTGGGTTCTAGGAGGCCAACTGAGATGGGGTTTAGTGTGCCAGTGTTTATTAGAGAGTGCTCTTCTGTCAATACCTGTGGAAAGGAGAAGGAAGCAGGTTTGGGCAAAGGAAGGAGTCAAGCTGCGATGCAGGCCCCAAGGTAGCTTCTGGCTGGCCCCACAAAGAGCTCTGGAGCTAAAGAGACCCACCAGGGTTGTCCTGCTTTAGATAGAAATAGAGAGGCTTTATAACACCATTCTTCCACTTCAGCCTCAATCAGCCATTTGATATGGGCTATACTGAGGCAATCCCTAAAGAAATTGACAACTGGAGGCCAACGCTGACAGCACTCCCAGTAGGTGGGGCAACAAGTCCTTTCCTGAAGGGGAATAGAGGTGGCACATCACTGTGCCTCCATAGGGTAGAACTAGGGAGGGCTACTGATGTTATTAATAGTATTATTATTCACTTTTGAAGGCGTGCAGAGAACCGTGGATTATAAAGAGAATAAAGCAGACAGGACATATCCAGATCTTTAAAAAAAAGTTGTATTTAAAATATAAATATTATAGTTAACAACCTTATTACTGTTAATTGTTCCTTTTGGTTCTATGAGTTGAAAAAGCAGAAAACCACTAAGATGGTGAAATGTCTGGAAATTATGTCATGGAATAAGGACTTAGGAACTGGGAATCACTCAGAAAGAAAAAAGCACAAAACTCAGAGGAAATAGTGAAAATCATTATGTTGAAGACTTATTCTTTAACCAAAATTTTACTGAATCTCCAAGGCCCACCTTCATAGTAGTTATACAGTACCTCCCACATTGCTGGTGTTCAGTTGTGTTCTTTAAAAGGAAGGAAGGGAAGTAAGGAGGGCAAATAGCTCTAGGGCCAATGAGAGAAAGTTATAGGGAATTCAACTGTCAAAGGATTAAAGCTATTCAAAGGGAAATGAGCTCTGAAGGAAGCCGCTCTCCCACTGAAAGGCTCTAAGTGAGCCTTTATTCTGGGGGAAGCAAAGACTTGATAGGCATTCAAAGACATTGCACAGAACACTTCTAAGAGGGAGGAAGAAATTATTCTGGGTAAACGTTAATATTCATTACAAGCCTAAGACTATGATTTAAAGTGCTCAATGATTTTGGAATGGCCCCAGATATTTAATCAATTTTGATATAAATAAAACATGCAAACTTTTAAAAATAAAATGACAATGTACTTTGGATTTTTGTAATATAGATTCTATAATAAAGTTTGAATCTCATAAAATTTTCACACTTTAATTTAGCTGCTGGCTTTTGCAAAGAATTTGAATGTAGAATTCAGCGTGGAGGCAGAAAGAATGATTCATGGCTATTATCTAGCAAGTCGCAGAATCAGAACAGATTCTAAATGTGGATCAAAACTGTCATCATCTGCATTAAAATATTTGTAGGTATTCAATGCAAAATCTTAAAGCCAGTATTGACTTTTAAATGATGTCTTTAATGAACTTATTTATCTGTTTCACTTTTTTCTTTGTTTATTTGATTCCTCATTGGTTGGTTTACAATTTACCTTGTTCCAACAGAATTTAAAGTGACTTAACTCCTTTTGTTATATTTTTTTTTGGGTTTTTTTTTTTTTTTGGTGATGCCAGAAGCTAACATCTGTTGCCAATCTTCCTCTATTTTTTGTATGTGGGATGCCACCATAGCATCACTTGATGAGCAGCATGTAGGTCCATGCTTGGGATCTGGACCGGTGAATCCCAGGCTGCTGAAGTGGAGGGCAAGAACTTAACCACAACACCACTGGGCCGGCCCTTTATATTGTTACATCAGTTGAACTTCCAATAATTTGTTTTTCACTAAATTAATTTTTATTGGACCTCCTGTATGACATGTGCATGAGAAAATTTCTGATTTCAAATGCAAATGATTGTTTTTTAAAACGTGACTATTTATGGCCCTGGCCCTGTGGCCAAGTGGTTAAAGTTCTGCGTGCTCTGCTTCAGTGGCCAGAGGTTCGCAGGTTCAGATCCTGGGTGCAGACCTACTCCACTTGTCAGCCATGCTGTGGGGGCATCCCACATACAAAGTAGAGGAAAACTGGCACAGATGTTAGCTCAAGGCTAATCTTCCTCAATTAAAAAAAGAGGAGGAGGATTGGCAACGGATGTTAGCTCAGGGTGAATCTTCCTCACACACACACGAAAACAAAGTGACTGCTTACATTCTAGGTATTTTGTAGTTGAATCTAGAAAAATTCTTTTTAAGTATATTTTACTTTAAAATACTTTAATAGACTCATCTATTATTATTCCTCTAAAAGTTTTTCTAAAAAACTAATTTTTATTATAAAAGTAAAGTGTGGACACAGTAAAAGAAAAGTCTAAAATGTCCTGCTAACCCTACCCATTCCTATCCCACTCTCTAGAGACAATCACTGTTAACAGTTTTTGTATATCCTTCCAGAAATTATCTATTCAAATACTAGCATATACAAATATGTAACTTAAATATATGATGTATATTAAATATATATTTTATTTGAATATATTATATATTTTTAGATGTATGTGTTATTTAAACTGTTAAAAAAGCAAAATTCAACTGAGTAAATTTGAAGAACTAATTGGCTTTATTCAACAATTCATGAATTAGGCAGCATCCCATCTAACAAATAGAAAGGAACTCCAAGGGCTATACAAAATGGAAGATTTTATGGACAGAAGTGGGTAGAAAAGGAAGTTTCTAACAAAGAGTATATTGTTTCAGACAGGGTCATCTTCCTTTGGGATAAGGGTGGGGGGTCTAAACGGCAGATTACCACACTAGTGCTGACCAGGTAATTCTAGATTGACTGCTTAAAGATCACATCCCTTTGTGAGGATGTGAAACTTTGTGAGAGGGTGAAACTGTAATTAGCTGAGATATTAAGTCTTGGTTTGCTGATGTGGGGCTTAGCACAAGTGACTCCACTTTGGGCTTATTGTCTCTTTTTTAACAAAACATTTTATATATATAAATATATATAATAGATAAATATAAGTATATATATTCATATGGGTAGATATTTTCTTCTTGCCCAAATGAAATCATGCATGATATACATATCATATTATCAGCACATAGGGGCTGGTCTGGTGATGCAGCGGTTAAGTTTGCATGTTCTGCTTCGGCAGCCTGGGGTTCATTGGTTTGGATCCCAGGTGTGGACCTACACACCACTCATCAAGCCATGCTGTGGCAGGTGTCCTACATATAAAACAGAGGAAGATGGGCATGGATGTTAGCTCAGGGCCAATCTTCCTCAGCAAAAAGAGGAGGATTGGCGGCAGATATTAGCTCAGGGCTAATCTTCCTCAAAAAAAAGAAAATTATCAGCACATAAAGGATTACTTCGTTCTGTTTTAATAGCTGCATTAACAGTTTTAGTGTGTTTTGATGTGGCTGTACTATAATTTAAATAGCCCCTAATGACAGACCTTTACACTTCCTTTGATATAGATTAATTAATGTATGATCTCAAACAAATTATGAAGTAGGACCAGGAGTAAAATAATCCATTAAATAAATAAATATCTTGTTATAAATGCAATATAAAATAAGAGAAGTGAAGGACTGGCAGGAAATATCAACTATGTCTGTAAGAGATAAATAGGTTTAGTTAATTTCTCCCACTGTATATGTTTTTCCTCTGTATAAAAAGGTATTTTTTATTTAAACTCACACAGTTTCAGTTTACATTTGACTATATTGATCCAAAAATTAAGCAGAATTAATTTTAATATGATAACTCTACTTTTTCCCATTGTAGAAATAAACACTAGAGGTGGAGATGAGGTTTATGAAATAGCAAAATAAATGAACCACTACTCAGAAGAGTCATAAACCTTGATTTTTTCTCCTGCTTCTATAGATAGTAACCTAATAATACCATCTTTGCTTTTCTAGTGAAGTGGAGCTGAACAATACTCTCTTCTCTCTGAAAGGCTGTATATGTATATGTATATGTATATATATTCTGTCCTGGTCAACATTTTTAGAAGGAGTTTGGGTGAGGAAATCAGGAACATGATAATTAAATTTGTAAATAAACAACTCTGGAGAGATCTTCACAAGCTCAAATGATGATTTTAGTCTAACAAGAAGAAAATTAATAGGATAAATGTACTGCCCTCACTTAGGTCCCAATCTCCCTAGTACAAGCGGGAATGGATAGGAAATGGGTGATATGGCTTAAAATGAAAAGACTTATTTCATTCTTTATGAGTAAACAATGTAATAAGGCTGTTAATACTTCTGTGATTTGGGGTTGTATTATAGAATATATATAGTATCAAGAGAAAGAAAATGCCAGTTCTGCCTCACCTCTACTCTGCTGGTCAATTACTCCTGTAGTACTGTACTGAAAAGGAATGTTAACCAAATCTGGTCACAAGGAGAGTAGCCAGGATGGTGAGGGGTCTGAAAATTATGTCTCATGACATAGTGAGGAACTAGGAATACTTATCTTGGAGAAAAGAAAACATAGGACAACTAGAAAAGTTGTCTTTGAATATTTTAAGAGCTGTCACATTTAAGAAGTATTAGACTTGTTCTGTAATCCCAGAAGACTGGTGGGTGGAAATTGCAGTGAAACCAGTTTCAGCTTACGTTTATATAATCTTTGTGGGTGAGTCCCAGAATTTTCAAATGCCTTATTTGAAAGCACAATAACCCTGTGAATTGTTCTTATCCCCATTTCATAACTGAGCTTCAAAAAAATCTCAAATTAAATGATTTATACAAAGTCACACAGCTAGTAAATTCTGGAGACTTAGCCCAGGTTTTCTGATTGCCAAGTCCAGCAATCATTCAAGTACATTGCATATGCCTAAGGGAGATTTTTTTCAGGTAATCAAAGCTAGTTTAAAAATATAAAGGAATGGATTGCCTCATGATTCCTAGCGAATCCTGGGAAAAGTTCAAAAGAGACTGGAAAATAAGTAGCCTGGGATGTTGGAGAGAAAATTCAATTATCTGATGGGAGTTAGAGCTTTGATCCCCAAGATCTCTTCCTACACTGAAGTTTCAAGATTCTATGAGGACTTCAAATAGATGAAGAACTGGAAGAAAACACCAAGGATGTGTCTATAGTTAGGTTAATTCTCCCAACTGTGTATTTATCTGAATAGAACTTAGGGGGGAGGGGAGGAGACATGGAATAATAAAGATAAGCCAGAGTGGAAACCAACTCTTTGATAAGTCAGGATACTTGCTCATTCTGGAATAGTCTATTCAAGTTGGTAGGAAAAAAATGCTTTGAAAAGAAATTAAAAATTTTTTTAAAGTAAGAATATGCTGATCTTTAAGGTGTGGCTTATGTTCATGTGTGTCTTGGTTTGTTCCTGCCAAAATATATATTATCTTTATAATATCAACATATTTTGATTGGCATCAGTTTTCTTTTTTAGAGTTTCCCTATCTGAAGCCCATGCTCGACTGAACTTAAGGAATAAAGTGCTTAAAGAAGATGTATTAATTGCAGCCTTATTATTTGAAACATCTCTCACATTGAAATATGGTAATCTATTAAATTATTAATGACCACTACAAATAATTATATTTAAACTTAAATATTCTTAGTCTGTTAAATTGAAATGTTACATATATTTTAAAGAATCATAAATTTCTATCAGGTAATGCCTGTTTGAATTTGAACATTTATTAATTGCTTATAGAAAGTATCATTATCTGATATTAAGTTCCTTATTGTGCATGACTGTTTCTAATCTTGAACTTTTGCATTGCTTAAAGAATTCTGAAAAGAAAATGTGCTTAATATAACACATGAAATGACTTTAAATTTATCTTCCTTTTGAAATAACATGCAACATTTGTCAAGCAGCTTTGGAGTCAGGCAAATAGGCAAAGAAAATGTGATTATCTTGCATCATCACCTTCTCTGAATTGCTAGTTATAATACTATGACCATAGCATTTAATTGTTTGAAATGAATGGGGCTTATTATGGTTTTGCTAATAAAAATATAAAAAGGCTCTTAAGGTAAGAGTAAAGAGAGTTAATCTTACAAAGTTCTTTGTTGCATTAGATGAGACATTAATTTTGATGAGATATACCATCCTTCAAACCAAACTTTGGTTCCAGCTCTGGGACTTAAAGGATGTATTAATGTAGACTTTTCTGTGTGTATTTGTTCAGTGCTTAAATTTGCTTTAAATTCAATTTATTTTGTAGTACCTTTTCAAAAAGATCCATTAGAACATTACAACTTTGTTGTATAATTATCTAAATCAAGCATTCTAAACCTAGGATCCATGGATACTTAGAGAGTCGTAGGGGCTTGTGAATCCCTACATTATATGTAAATTTGTATATGTCTGTGCTTTATACCTTTTTGCTTAGGAAGATGAATCGTAAGTTTTATCAAATATGTCTTAGAGGTTCATGACCCCCAGAAGAGGTTAATTATCATCCTGAATTAGTTTTATTTACCAAGAGAAAAACACTAGTTCCCAGCCAATGCTAAATAAGAGGAAGGATATATGTGTTTTTATTTTTTATTTTTTCTGCTTTTTCTCCCCAAACCCCCCAGTACATAGTTGTATATTTTAGTTGTGGGTCCTTCCAGTTGTGGCATGTGGGATGCCGCCTCAACATGGCCTGACGAGCAGTGCCATGTCCGCGCCCAGGATCCAAACCCTGGGCCGCCAAAGCAGAGTGCGCGAACTTAACCACTTGGCCACGGGGCCAGCCCCTATGTGTTTTTATTTTTAATTTGCTTTATCTTTACATTCTTCTTTTATTCTATATGTAAAAACACAATTGGAAATAATAAGATATTTTATGTACCATGAAGAAAAAATGCTTCCAAGTTTACTATGACATGCCATCAGAATTGTTAAGATACAACTAGATTTCTGTAAGAAGACAAAAATGTGTGTCTTTGAATTGAAAAACTATGGTATCGTAATATTAAGGACTCCTGTGGTAGAATATGGCTGTTTTCACGTGGTAACTACTTTGTCAAGACTTACTTGAAGCATTTAAGAAAGCATTTGTTAAGGGAAATAAAACTATGTGAGGATTTTTTTTTCCTTTAGTTACTTTTTTGTTTTCATAATGAATTTTAGTTAGGTATATTGATTTTTAAGTCTTAAGCAAAACAATGCTAAGAGCTCCTTAAGTGTTACTTTAAATATAGCAGGCAAATGATCTCTACTCAGGGATATTTTTCTTGGATGCAGAAACCAATAGTTTGTGCTCATGAACTGGATTTAGCAGTTAGGGCAGGGGAGAGAGGGAGGAATTAAAGAAAACTCCCAGGTTTCTACCTGCGCAACTGAGTGGATCATGGTGCTATTTACCAAGACTGGAAAGAAAGAGAAAAAGGCTTGGGAGAAAAATCAAATTATAGCTATAAGTTTGAGACATGCTACAGAGATATCAATAGACAGATGTAAGAATCTGGAATTTAGGGGCTGGCTCTGTGGCCAAGTGGTTAAGTTTGCACGCTCTGCTTGGGCCTGGGGTTCGTGGGTTTGGATCCTGGCCATGGACCTACACACTGCTCATCAAGCCATGTTGTGGTGGCATCCCACATAGAAGAAACAGAATGACCTACAATTAGGATGTACAACTATGTACTGGGTCTTTGGGGAGAGAAGGAAAAAAAGAGGAAGATTGGCAACAGATAGCTCAGGGCCAATCTTGAAAGAAAACAAAAAAAGAATCTGGAATTTAGAAGAGAATTCTAACCTAGAAATATAATTTAGGAATCATCAGCACAGAGATTGTACTCACAGCGATGGAATGGATGAAATCACCTAGAGAAGGACTATATAGAGAACTCCAGGACTGCCCTTGAAGAATTGCAATATTTAGAAACGGGTTTGAAGAGGAGGAACACAGGAGATTGAGAAGCAGCAGCTAGAATGTAGAAGGAAAATCAAGTGTGGCGTTATAGAAGCCAAGAAAGGAGAGTGTTTCAAGAAGGGAGAGGAGTGGTTAGCTGTATCACGTGCTACTGAGTTTGAGTGACGTTAGATTTGGCAATCTAGAGGTTGTAGGTGGCCATGATTAGAGCTATTTCAGTGGAGTGGGGATTTGGGTGCGGTAGGAAGTGAGGATATAGAGATAGCACACATAGACAACTGTGAGATGTTTGACTATGAAGATGAAGAAATAAGGTATTAGGTGGAAAAGGATGTCTGGTCGAGGAAGGGATTTTTTAAAAAAGAAGATAATAGATCAAATGATATGCAATAGAGAGTAAACTAATGATACTACAGAAAGAGGGGAAGATCAAAGGAGTGAAGTGTTTAAAAAAGTGAGAAGGGATGGGATCTAGAGCACCATATGAAGGTATTGGTCTCTGATAGAAAAGTCACTTCATTTTATAGGATGAAAGACAATGGATACAGAATCAAGCAGGCCTGTAGATTTAGTCATGTACTCTACACAAGGTCATCAGCTGAAAACAAAAGATTTGAGGAGAGGAATGGAATATAATAGTCATTGTAGGGGATAGCAGAGCAAGTGAGCTCGAGAAACCCAACAGGGTTGTCAGGCAGTGCAAATTCCCATTTGAGGTTTCTGTGATTCGTTTAAAATAAAGAAATACCATTTATGTGATTTTCTGCCTAGCGGCCTGAATGCAGGCTGAGTTCATGCAGAGTTGAGGTTTTGATAGGTGAGTGTGGCAGTGTTACAGACGGGCAAGGGAGTTGGGGGACTGGCAAAGGAGGGACTTGTAAATTGGTTAAGAGGGAAGGGAACTGAAGGAAGTAGATTGGAGGTCTCTGAGATAGAAGACCTGGAAGCTGGAAGCATAGGAAGTAGTGTAGGGGCGCAGGATGTTTGAACTCATGGTTTTGACGTAAGTTTCTGGGGCTATCAGGTTCCTGGGACCTTTGGGAATGTGTGGTGGAGGCAGAGGGAAAAAGGTCAGGACATAGGGAGGTTGCGAGTTAAATGGATCATTGACTTGGAAATCACTGAATGGCAGGTATTAAAAAAGAGAGGAAGATAGCGGAGGGCTGAGCTGGTTGTTGACTTCACTGTGGAAGTGGAAAGGGTGATAAAGTCCAGATGGCACTGGGCATCAATGGGGAGAGATTTTTATCAAAAGGAAAGCAGGGGCAAGAATGGTCAGGAAGCTGCAAAGGGGCAGCAAATTAGGCATTGACTCATTCTTGTGACACTAAGGTATGTGGGGTGTTTGAGAAAAAGCAGCTTCACTTGAGAGAGCCACAAGGAAAGCAGCGTACTCAAGGAACAGCAAGGTTTCAGGTAGAGTAAGGCAGTAAAGAGAGCAGTCACAGAAGTCTGAGGCTATCTAAGTGTTTACTGACAACAGACAGCTCTAGGAAGGTAGGTACTGTCTGTGTGGGTAGCAGTTGTACTCCTGGCTAGTCATAGTTAGGTAATCATTCAACGAAACAGAATTTAAGAGCTTAACTCCTACAGTAATAGTCAAGGGTTTTAGGGTTTCTTTTAATTGTGGTAAAATATACATAACATAAAATTCACCATTTTAACTATAAGGACACAGTTCAGTGGCGTCATGTACAACATTCACACTGTTGCACCATTCATCTCCATAACATTTCAACATTTCCCAAACCGAAACGCCATAGCCAATAAACACATAACTCCCCATTTCTCCCTTCCGCAGCCCCTGGCAACCACCATTCTACTTTCTATGAATTTGACTTCTCTAGGTACCTCATCTAAGTGGAATCATATATTTATTCTATTTTGTTGGGCTTATTTCACTCATTATAATGTCCTCAAGGTTCATCCATGTTGTAGCATGGATTAAAATTTCCTCCATTGTGTATATATACCACATTTTGTTTATCCATTCATTCATCAATGGCTACTTAGGTTGTTTCCACCTTTGGCCATTGTGACTAATGCTGCTATGAACATGAGTGTACAAATCTCTCTGAGATCTTGCTTTTAATTATTTTGGGTATATACCCAGAAGTGAAATTGCTGGATCATATGGTTAATTGTGTTTAATTTTTTTGATGAAACTCTAGGGTTTTCTATCCGGGTCGCACCATTTTATATTTCCAACAACTGTGCACAAGGGTTCCAACTTCTCCACATCCTTGCCAATTCTTATTTTCTTTTGTTTAGTTTTTGATGGTAGCCATCCTTAGGGGTGTGAGGTGGTATCGCATTGTGGTTTTGATTTGCATTTTTCTAATGATTAGTAATGTTGAACATCTTTTCATGTGCTTATTGGAAATTTGTCTATCTTATTTGGAGAAATGTCTGTTCATCTTTTGCCCTTTTTTAATCGGGTTGTCATCGTTGCATTGTAGACACCCTATCAGATACATGACTTGCAAATATTTTCTCCCATTCCATGGGTTGCCTTTTCACTGTTATCTTTTGATGAACAAAAATAGTCTTTTGATGCGATCTATTTTTTTTGTTGCCTGTGCCTTTGGTACTATATTCTAGAAATTGCCAAATCCAACATCACAAAGCATTTCCCGAATGTTTTTCACTAAGGGTTTTATAGTTTTAGTTCTTACGTTTAGGTCTTTGATCCACTGAATTCGGTTTTGTATACAATGTAAGGGACCAACTTCATTCTTTTGCACGTAGGTATCATTTTCCTAGCACCATTTGTTGGAAAGATTGTCCTTTCCCCATTGAATCTTGGCACCCTTGTCAAAAATTATTGAACCACATATGCAAGGGGTTATTTCTGGGATATTCTATTCCATTCCATAGGTTTATGTTTGTCTTTATGTTAATGGTTCTTAAATAACTGAGAATTGTACAATAATGTCTATCATCCACTTACCCTTTATAGAATAAAAGGATTAGTGTTTCCCTACCTTCCAATACCTTCTATCCCTACTTTTTCCACCTCCTCAAGTCACTATTCAGCTTCAAAACTGTAAGACTACTTCAATAAATAAATTTCTAGTTTCCAACCTTTAAAATTTGAACATCAACATGTTTCTTCCATTGGCCCTGGTACCTGTTTGTTTCATTTACTGAACCTATTTCCTGGGTCTCAAAAGAAAAAAGGTCAGATTTAAATAATTACTGAAATACTTTACTAAGTAGGTCAGAACTTAATTTTAAAACTTTCACTAGAATATTTTGAAATGTGATTTCTTATTTAGTATTTCAAGGAGTATGCCTCATTTACATTTTTTTCCTTTTTTCACTTAGGGGCCACTGTATTTTGTGTTGCTCCAAATGCAGTATTTCCATTTGAACTGTATAATGAAGAAAATTTAGAGCAAAGGGATATGTATCTGACTCAGTGCCAACAACAACTCCAACAGTTTATTGCCACTTATGGACCTGGGACTCCTGTTTTCGCTAGTGATGAATAGGCAATCTGAAGAAAATTTTTTTCTTCATTTCTACTTAAGCAGTGGAAAAAAATGTGAGTGATCCTGAAGTAATGCTTCAGGTAATACTGTGTGTAGGAGTACATTAGAATCCCATCTTGAAAAATATAGTATGATCTCTTCAAATTAATTACTAATGAAATAAACACTAATCCAAACCTCAAAGCCAAGAGCAGAAATTTAAAACTTAGAAGAATCCTACAAAAAAACTTCTGGTTAGCCAAGTATACCAGTGGTCAACAGATAAAAATATAAATGCTGCAAACCCAGCAATGAAAAACTGGTAACTGGTAACTTTTACATGGTTCCCTCCATTTGTCACAAGGTGGCAATAACACTTTAAATGAGAATATTTACCTACCAATTATTTTAAACCACTTTTTCTTGTGCTTGTGAACTTGACAAATTGATGAGTAAACAACAGCAATTTTTATAATCAGCAGCCTTGAATTTAAGACTTTTCATGCTTAACTAGATATTGACATAGCCATTATATGAATATATATCATTTTGGAAGCCCTAATTACGCAGTCAGGAAAAAGCTTTGGAATTTTCCATTTTCTATAAGCCAGGTTACACAGAAAAAAGTAATTTACATCAAATCAAGGAGCAATGATTGGCTCTTTAAACCTAACTGGTTACAAGATACCAAAAAAACAAGAAAACAATTTGCAAACCCAGTCTTCATTTTTGGAGCGAAGTATCTGTTCTGAAAAGGTAAGGATACCATGAGAAAATATACTTATCTTGTAAAATCCCCAAAATCCTTATTTTTATTTTTCAAAGCTTTAATGAAAGATAATTTTACTAAAAGGAAATGTCATCATAAAATTGCCACCTTATTAACCAAGACACTACCACAGTACCAGAAACTGATACTTCACACAGCTTCATGGACAGCTCACTCTCTATAGAACTTTTGACAAGTCATTCACTCAACAATATTTATTGAATATCCACTAGTGCCAGACTATAGCGTTAGCTTTCAGAAGGCAAAACTAGTTTTTAAAAACAAAATATTTACATATTACAATTCTGTAGTTAAGACTTTATTTTATGCCTTCTTATATATTATTTTTCTGGTTCTCTATGGGATGAAGGGAAAACATTTCTATTTTATAAAACTAGGATCCATAAAATGGCCTCCATTTTACAATTGTGAAGTGTTAAGGTTCTTTTGAAACAGGAGGACCAATATCAAACACTGCAGGGAAATGGTTTTCAAATGTTGCCTCTAATGGGAAGTGACTACAGAGATGTCACTGTACACATTTTATACTGTGGTTTAACATACTGAAATTAGAACCCTGATAAAAGCAAGGCCTCAACAGGGAAAAAGGAAGATTTAGCTAAGTCTTCTCTGAGGTAAGAATTCAGCTCAGTTTTAGAATTCTTATAAATTCTCCATTCCTGGACAGACTAGACTGTCCAGTCACCATCTTCCTTAATATAGCATGTTGTTATTATTTGTACTAGGATTAGGATTATTTGGTTCACAAAGGTGAAAGCAAATTAATAAAAATTTTAAATTTACAAAAAATCTGTAGGTCACAGGTGAAACCTTGACTTGTAAAGGGCAATTCATTAAGGAGTTTAGGAGTTTTTCAGGTCCAATAGCAGGTTCTAAAGGGGAAGTCCACATAGTGAATATGCAGTGATTAGGGCCTCTCCAGGAATCCGCTAAGGTAGGCAAGAAAGGGTATGAGAACTGGAGGTACTAGAAATTTCTCCCCAGCTGCCTGCCACCTCAGAGACTTATTATCCACAAAAACCCTAGTTATTGTGAAGAACATACTACCCCTAAAGTATGTTAAAAAACAAGTCTGAGGGGCCGGCCCGGTGGCGCAGCGGTTAAGTTCGCACGTTCCGCTTCTTGGCGGCCCGGGGTTCGCTGGTTCGGATCCCGGGTGCGGACATGGCACTGCTTGGCAGCCATGCTGTGGTAGGCCTCCCACGTATAAACTAGAGGAAGACGGGCACGGATCTTAGCTCAGAGCCAGGCTTCCTCAGCAAAAAGAGGAGGACTGGCAGTAGTTAGCTGAGGGCTAATCTTCCTCCAAAAAAAACAAAACAAAACAAAACAAAAACAAAAACAAAAAAAAACAAGTCTGACTAGTGACTATGAGAATAGCTGTTTCAAGAGTTGATATGTTTTAAAGACTTTATTGCCCAGCAATCAAAAGTAGTCAAACATTTATTTTCCTATATAATTTACTGTGAGGTGATCAATGTTAAATAAAATACTAATTTTCATCATTTCATGTCGTCTTGACCAATTCTTCATTTTTTCCTTCCAAAATGTGGTAACCTCAGAAAAACAAAAAGAAACCAACAGTGAAAATCATTCCAGACTCAAACTCAAAGAAAATCATACCCTGACACACAAAGGCAACTTTAACAGGAAATGGCCCCAGCCCTTTGGAGTTTATCAGATACCTGTGAATTATAAGTAGATGTAGTTGCTTCATAAATCATAATTACTTGAGGCAATGAAGGAATTTTCAACAGCACAGCTAAGGACTTTGACATTCATCTGCAGCTACCTATAAACTGAAAAGAATATTTCACTCATTTTAATTAAAAAACCACATTATATTTGAGTAATTCACATAATCAATATAGATTACTGGCATCTCAGTCTTAAAATTATGTCTTCAAAGAAACCCTCAGCTGGGTAAACGGCAAAAAGTTAAGTCATCATTGTGCCAGTTATTAAACCTATCTATGTAAAAATGTATTAATTTTTGGTACTGCTTTTCAAGAATACCACAAATACATTTTAAAAAGCACACAATTTAATATTAACTTGGTACCTTATACATGTTGTTGTGCTCCTAGTGGTTTTTTCAAAGCCATCCTCTATCTCAAGTTTTTGGAAAACATTTATCATGACCTTCATTCATCTTCAAAATTCATAGGCTCTGGTGCACCTGGAAATTAAATATCCCACTGTGAATTCTCATTTGGACTCCCATCTGTTTGTTTGGCATCTTATATGAAAGAATGGTCCAATAAGATTTTTTTCCATTCTTATCAGGAACCATAAACATAACAACATTTGCAATCTTCCTGGCTCCCAAGGAACTTTTAAAACTACTAACATTGAGACTATATAGTGGAGTTAATTTTCTATCTGTTGTTTAACACATCTCTAATGGAACAAAAGAATGTAAATACTGCTTAATTCTACTTTTCTGGTAGTCAAAACTGGTAATCCCCCAATTTAAAATATCTATAAAGATTTGAGTATGTGTTAGTCCTTTTGATTGATTAGACCCTAATAATTCCATAAATGATCTTTCCAAGCTGGAAATGGATTCATTAGCACGGGCAGGAAAAATGGTGGATACATTTATGATGTTCTTTACTGTGGCAGTATTGATTTTAAGACATGATATGGTCCTAATGAGTACCCAGCCATTGCTTTTCTGTCTCAGAGCTTGACATGGATGAGGTATGAGCCAGGTTAAAGGTTAGATATATTTTTAAAAATGTGCAGACCTCCAACTAAAAGCATTACAACAGCAAATCTAACAGTTTTAGAGCCGAGATACATTATGTTGGCATCATTATTGGACACAGTCCTGTGGAATGACTGTCCCAAGCTGCCTGAAAGCACATTTAAGGACTGCAAAGGGCATGGCCAGGGGCACAGATCATGTCCTACAGCTCCCCAGGAGGGAAAGTCATTGAACTAGGCAGCTACTGAAAATGATTTATGAGGACACATCAAATGCTGGACCTTGCAAAACAATTTATCATTTTCAAGTCCTGAAATGCTGAAATATTTCACATAATCAATATTAGGAAGACAAAGTATTGGTTATGATTAATTCCAACTTGGGAAATTTCAGTTTAATATAAGATTCATGGGAACTACTGACAACTACATGCATAGTCCCATTAGTGTGAAGCCTAAAACAAGAAAAAGAATGTTTAGGGATAAATAATGTATAATAAAACTGCTATCTATCTCACCCACTTCAAAAAACCGAGAGACTGGACATACATTCCTAGGCCACGGGCACCTCAGGATGGAAGGCAGGGGAATGGGATAGGGAAACAACAGACGCTATGGTACTGAAATATTCCACTTCTTCAATGGACTGGTGGGCTCTCGTGTATTTAATATGCTTCAGGGCTTACCCGCATTATCAATATTTTTATCAAATATTTAATTTGTAAAACTTAAAAAATTCCAACACTTAGCAATGAAAATAGGATTCAAACCACTTAGGCCTCAAAAATAAGGATGACTGTAACACCAAACAAAACTAAGCCATCACATTTGCCCTGTTGACAGTTAACCGTGAAGATGCTTTAAATGAAGCAAGGTATTTCAAATTTGGGGAAGAAAGAAACCCCACATGACCATAGCAAGTCCCATCTATGAGGTCTTCATTTATAACTTGTTTTTGGAAAGGCAGCATGTTCTTCCAGTCTCCCAGCTGTTGACCAGTGTCTTCTGGGTTATGTCCAGAAATACACGTCCCTGTGTTAAACACAACCATCTAAGGAGAGCGGGCACTTGCGGCCTATTCTACACTGTGCACGTTGTTCTCCAACGCCAGTGGCACGTCTTTAGAGCATCTTTACAAAGAAGACCTAGAAACAAAGGCCGACAAATACCTCTCCCCTGTCGAGACCACAACTCAGTTAGTGGGTAAACTGTGCTGTTAACAATTTAAAAAGCCAATCACAAAGTACAGTTAAGTAAAGGCTGTCTTGATTCCTGAGAGAATCCCTTCCCCCATTATAAAATGCTCCGTAAGGACAAACGAGCGCCCGTGAAGGGAGGCCGGCACCGTCTGGGCCGCACGCAGAGCTTCACTGGGGATGCGGGCGGGGGCCGCGGCGAAGGCCCGGGCGGGGCGGGACGCACCGGGCGACCCTCCAGCCGCCGCGGAACCGAGTCACTCAAGGCCCTTAATTAGTTTCCGAGCCAACAACAGTCGAAATCGGCGTTTACTAAAGAGAAAGGCCAGCTAGGACTCGAGGCGGTTACTCACAAAACGCGACTGCGCAGGCAGCCAGGAGGAAAGCTCGCGGCCGCGTCCACTGGAGGCCGGGGAGGCTGCCTCCGGGGCCGACCTCGCGGGCAACGGACGGAGGCCGCCCGAACGGAGGCGCGGGGCCCAGAGGGCGGAGGGCCCCGAGGACCGAGGCGGGTTCCTGGCAGAAAGAGAGGAGGAACTAAGACCACGGGGACTCCCACCTGGACGAGCCTGGGAAGGGGCCGGCAGGCGCCGCCGCCCGGGCCGCATGGCCCAAGGAGCCTGAGAGGCCCGCCTCCGACGGCGGCCGCGGGGAAAAGAAAGCACGGCCCCGGCGGAGGCTCTTACGCGCCCCGCCCCTTCCGGGCCCTGGCCCCGCCCCGCCCGCCGGTCGCGCCGCGCGGTGGAGAGCCGGGTGGCTGGAGGGGGAGGCTTTGACTGTCGGTGTCTCCCCGGGAGTTTCGGTCTGGGGTGGCGCGGCACACCCCAAGTTTGTTTTGACGGGTTTTGGAACTTCCGTAGAGGCTTTCAAGGTTCATGAGGACCTCCCATAGAGCGATTTCATTGGGTCTGCAAGTGTTTAATCTACCCGCTTGTAGTGGATCCAAGCGAGCAGAAGATGCTCTAAAAAGAAAAGATCACCCGTTCCTAGTACGTTATATTTGGTCGTCTACTCCCTCACAGTTCAGTGCTTAAAAAGTCGTGGTACTGGACATCCCACTTTAGAGTAAGGGTATCTGGAGTCGACTCCTTCACACACACACAAGAACCAGTTACCAGAAAGAGAAGCTATTTCCTCTATAACAATAGCTACTGTTACTCTTTTTTAATTGATAATAATAATAAAAATAATTTATTGATGGTAATAATAATTATTGATAATAATAAACGGTAAAAAAATTCATAAAGCAGTCACCTGCTTGTTTATAAACATAAAATTTGCTTTTGATTTTCGTGTTTTGTGTTTTATTTTTCTTGTTTATCTCAGTCGTTATACTATCTTGAGTCTTGGCTGCAAAGCACCAGGCCCAGTGCTGGAGGAGACAGGTTGATGATCTTGTTGCCAGGAAGAATACACGTGAAAGCATACAATTAAACAACTGAATCAGTAAAAGACACGTCCTCTTTCCTTTAACAACTGGAACTCTAAGGAATTAATACAAAATCCAGTACGAAATGTATTTGCCTCAAAGAAACGCGGTATGAAAATCTAAACCTAGCAAAATGAATTGTGATCATATTCACTTTACCGAAGGATTCTTCTCTATATAAAATTTTTGTTGAATGCTTTACAGGGGTTTAAAATGGTTTGATTGGGGCCCCAAGTGGGCACTGTTTTTTCCGCCCAGTGGTGGCTTGGTCCTCAGCCTGTTGTCAAAGACTCCTGACTGAATATTGCTTCTACAACCTGGGCAACTGACTCCACCTACAACTGGGTGGGCAGGTGTGGGAGCCACCATTACTGAATGGTGTAGGGAGGGTGAGCTTGGATGCTGCACCCATCAAATTTAGGCAAGTTTTCAGTGCCCAGGGCCATATGAGAAGGAACTGGAGACCAGCATGGACACTTCTGCCACAATTCCCTACAAGATGGCTCCCCAACTGCTATATGTTTTCCTTTCCTCCTTCTGCGGGAGCTCTCATGGCATTCATTAGCCCCTGCTTCCAAGAGATACCTGACCTAGGAGGACAGAATATGGAAGGGGCCACTGCCTTAATGACTTAGTATGTTCTTTTTTCAGACCAGGTATAATTAAATTCCATGACTAAAATTTAGGTGTTCCTAAAACTCTGCAGCCACTCATTTTCAGATTATTAAGTCAGTTATTTTAATTGATGAATAATATCATTCATTAAATAAATATCTGTTTTCAACTGCAAGTAAGAAGATATGCAATTAAATGGCTTTTAAAAAATGAGTAGTGAGGGCCAGCCTGTGGCCAAGTGGTTAAGTTTGCGCACTCTGCTTCCGTGGCCTGGGGTTTCATCAGTTGGGATCCTGGACGCGGACATGGCACTGCTCATCAGGCCATGTTAAGGCGGCGTCCCACATGCCACAACTAGAAGCACTCACAACTAGAATATACAACTATGTACTGGGGGGCTTTGGGGAGAAGAAGGAGGAGGAGGAGGAGGAGAGAAGGAGGAGGAAAGAAGATTGGCAACAGATGTGCCAATCTTTAAAAAAAAAAATGAGTAGTGTATTATTCCACATTACAAGAAATCCAGAGGTAACTAGTTCTAGGGTTGGTTAATTCAGCAGCACAATATTGTTGGTTTGTGGCAAACTTGTCTGAGACTTGATTTCCCCCTCATGGTTGCAAGAAGGCTCCCCAGCTGTAAACATCACATCTTCTTGTTACAACATCCAAAGGCAGGAAAGAGGGACATTTTTCCTCATGTGTTTCTTTTCTAATCTGGGTGGAAAATCTTTCCCAGAATGTCCTTCAGGTGCCATTGACCATTCCTAGATTGCAAGTCCAGGCATTATCAGCTGATAACGTGAGAAGCTGGGCTGTGGCAGAAAAGAAAGAGGAGAGGGGATGGCTGCTGGGTGGGCCATCAACAGTGCTTGCCGCAATGGGTAATCTTAACTTTAAGGTTTGGGGGTATCACTGAATCTCACGAACTCTTTTCTAATTACTCTACGAGAGAGAACATTACAGGGGCGTGAAGGAGGATGTGGAAATTCTGAGAGTGAGAATGAGTACAGATTTTCACTTTAACTTCTTTAACTTCACTTTAACTTCTGCCTCAAAGATAACTTTTCTTTAACACAGCATTATTGATATACAAAGAATCTCACATATTTAAAGTGAAAAGTTTGGTAAGTTTTGACATGGGTATATGCCTGTGAAACATCACCACACTAAAGATAAAGAACATACTCATCACCCCCAAACATCTCCTCCTGCCCGTTTATAACTTCTCCTTCATGCCCCCTCCCAACCCCGCCTTCAAACCTCATCCCCACGCAACCACTGACTTGCTTTCTGTCACTGTAGACTAGTTTGCATTTTCTGTAATTTGTTTAAATGGAATTCATATAAGTCTGTACTCTTTTATACCTGGCTTCTTTCACTCAGCATAATTATTTTGAGATTCATCCGTGCTGTTGTGTATAACAACAGTTAATTCCTTTTTAGCACTGAGTAATACTCCCATACATGGATATCCCATAATTTGTTTATCCATTGACCCACGGATGAACGTTAGATTGTTTCCGGTGTTTGGCTGTTACAAATAAAGCTACTATGCACATTCATATATAAGTCTTTGTATGGACATGTGCTTTTATTTCTCTTGGTAAATAGCTAGGAGTGGAATGGCTGCATGGTATGATAGGTGTATGTGTAACCTTGTGAGAAACTCTTTTCGAAAGTGGTTATACCATTTTACATTCCCATGAGCCATGTTTGAGGCCTCCAACTGCTTCATGTTTCTGCCAACACGTGATGTGGTCAGTCTTTTTGTTTCACATTCAAATAGATGTGTAATGGTATTTCATTGTGCTTTTAGTTTGTATTTCCCTAAAGAATAATAAGCATATTTTTACATGATTGTTTGCTATCTGAATGTCTTCTTTGATGAAATGTCTATTCAAATCTTTTGCCCATTTTAAAAATTGAGTTGTTTGTCTTTTTATAATTGAGTTTCTAGGGTTCTTTATATATTTGGGATACAAGTTCTTTGTCAGATATGATTTGCAAATATTTTCTCCAAGTTTGTATCTTGTCTTTTCATTCCTTTAACGGTGTCATTCAAAGAGAAGTTCTCCATTTTGATGAAATCCAAATTATCAATTTTTTCTTATATGAAGTTTGCTTTTGCTCTTATATCTGAGGAACTTTACCTAATTCAAATTCTAGAAAATGCCTTTTTATTTTCTAACCATAGACCTACTCAATTATCCCTTAGGAGAATAAACACGCCCTTTTCGGGACCACAGATCACTCAACTAGGTTTATGACTATTTACTATTCACAATTCTCTTTGAATCCCACACCAGCTAGGTCTACGTGGATTATGTCATGAAATTTTCCCAAACCCAATAAGCCCCATCAACACTGAAAGAGTCATCCTGAACCAGATCCTCAGAAAACTCATAAATCTCCTGCCTTTGCCCTGCCCATCTGAGATGCTTTTAGCCTGCCAAGGCAGTGGTCTCTCTTACTCTCCAATAAGGGATAACCTCCCTCCTTTACAAGTTTTTGTGATAAATGATAAATTTGGCATTGCTTTACCAACAGTTATTTTGGTAGTCTTTTCAGAGAATCCGCAGTCAAAAAAAAAAAAAGAAAGAAAGAAAGAAAGAAAAGGAAAGGAAAAAAAGAGGAGGGAGAGAGGCAGAAGGGAATAGATAAATGTCTCCAAAAGCACAGGTAGACAGATCAGAAGAGGAGACATCCACAGTGTGTTTGTGTGTGTTTTAAACAGCCTACATGTCCAGACACTGGTAAAATTAATTATAGTACATCCATACAATGGAATAGAAATCCTACTCTTGCCTGGGAAATTTATTTACTCCCTCTTTTAAACTACTTCAGCCTGTCTCTCTCTCCTCAAACTTCTTTCTTCTCCCCTTCACTCTTGCCTGATAACTTATTGTATTAGTCGGAGTCCCTGACGAGACAGAAACCACACAGTAATTTAAACAGGAAAAGTTTAATATAAAGAATTATTAACTATAACAACAGGTTACCTATTAAGAGAAAAAGAGAATTCTAAAGACTGTGGAAATAGCAGAAATAGGGAGCCCCCCCGTCTCTAAGCTGAGGCAGAACCTAACAGAAACAGATTTGGTAGAGGTCACTCCAGACCTTGTGGCTCACTGAATGGCAGAGAAGTTCACTGAGATGCCCGATTGGCAGAACTTGCTGGGAAGCCACCCTTGGAGTTGCTAGGGGAAACTACCCACAGGGAGGTGCTACGTGCTGCTGGCCACAGTTCACTGCAGGAACCTGTTAAGAGGAGCAAACAAGAACCAGGAAGAGAAGCTCCTTCTTCCTGGAGTCTCCCTTCAGCAGCCTCTACTGACAAGCCTTAACACTGTGCCCTTGGCAAAGGAGAAATGTTTACGTGGTCCAGCTCCATTATAGCAGAGCAGGTCAAGAGGAGTAAATCTGGAGATGAAAGACAGTACAGTGGTAGCTGGCACATTCTGTCCTCTCACTCCATTGAGAAAATAGCAGCCATCAGATGGGCA